CTTACAGGAAAGAAAAAAAAAAGTCCTCAGAGTCCAGGAACAACAAGAAAATACAAATCTAGATATTAGAGTTATGAGACACAGAGCATAAGTATGCTTAAGATGCTTAAATAAATAAAAGACACCCTCGAATGAATGACAAAGAAACAAGAATGATCGGCAAATCTCACTCAGGATTGACATCTCACAGCCATGGTGCAAGTCAGGGGACAATGGAATATTCTCTTCAAATGCCAAACTACCAATATAGAATTACATACCCAAATAAAATTATCTTTCAAGAACAAGAGCAAAATAAGAACATTTTCAGATAAGTAAAACTGAATTCACAACATTGACTTTCTCTACAATAATGAATACATGACATGCTTCAGGAAGGAAAAGAACCCCAGAAAGTTCTCTGAGATCCAAAGACCACCCAGCATTCAGGAATGAATGAAGGGCAGAAAAAAATGATAACCTGGTGGGTAAATGTAAACCAAAAAATACCACATTTTTTAAATATTTTAATGTGTTGGTTCAAAAAGCAAGACAGAATTAAAACCCTGGAGTAAAATGGCACGTAAGTTGGGAAGGAAGGTGACCAATGTTAAAGCACCCGAAGGTCCATAGCTAGTGATTAACTTTAGATCCTGCTGACTTGAATATGTACTTTCAAATTGACTGCTAAAGATAAGAATAAACAATAGAACTGCCAAATTAGTAGAGAAGAAAAAGTGGAATAAGAGGGGGAGAGAAAAACTTCTATCGACTCAAAATGCAGCATAAAAAAAAAAAAGAAGGGGAAAGCAAAAACAATTAGAAAGTATAAAATAAGATGGCATAATCCAAATAATCAGACCTAAAGTGTCTTGTAAGTACGAAAAAAAAAATATATATATATCTATATATGGACATACTAGTTAAAAGTCAAAGATTGTCAATCTGGATGTTTTCTTTAATGACCACACAAAATCAAGTGACATGCTATTTAGAGACATGCCTACAACATAAGGACACAGAATGAATGAGAGTAAAGGGATAGAAAAAGGTATCAGGAAAATACTAACTAAACCTAACATGTTCTGCAGACTGAAAGCACTGATTCAAAGAAAGGATGTTACTCTGATAACCGCAGATGGGTCTGGTAAAAATTAATAAAATAACCTGCGGTTTACAACCTCGTTGGGGAAGCAAAGAAACATCAGTCTAATCTCCATACCATGGGTGATGTTGTTCCAAAGATACCGTCGTTATGAGAACAGTCAGGCAGGCTACCTCTCTGCAAGAAGGGAAATCCTAACCAATTCCCTCCCTCCTGCCAACCCCAGCAAGACACGCTTTCTTTTGCTGAATTACCTATTTAGAGCTATTTTGAAACTCTTCACCATCCCAGCACCCAAGTCCTGACCCCTGAACTCAGATGCACATCTGCAAGTATAGCATTAATGAGGCTAACACCAGAGCAAGCATTCAAGGGACACCTATGTATTGTTGGCACACTTTCCTAAACAGCTGTTCAAAATCCCTCTGCTATGGCAGGGAACGTCTGATGTTCACACGTGGCATCTCCATCCACGTGCCCCAAGGGCACTGTCATCCACAGTGTCTTTCTCACTTGCTAAATGGCTCAGAATGCAAACAAGAATGACATTATAGTGATTATCTCAAGGCTTCTCTGAGCTATAAAAACTGAAACTCTGCAAATACTGGCACATTAGCAATCATTTACTCGTGACACACCTTACAACTGACTGTGATGTCATCACTAGTTTCAACGACAGGCCATCTGTTTTGAATCCCTACTTTGCCTAATTCTGGTATTCTCCCACTTGCTCAAAAGCACCCACCCTTAATCTTCTGAGTAATTTAAACCCCACGGACTCTAAGACAGTAGCTTTCAACCCTAGTTGCACATCAGCCTCAGCCTAGGCCCTACCTACAGAAATTCTATTTAATTGTTCTGGGGAAAGTCCTTGGCATCAATATTTCTCAAAGTTCCCCTAGGCCACAAATCCAGCTTTCTGGCTCCCCACTTTGGCCTACTGCCATCTCGGAGTGAAAGTTCCATCTCCTTGCCTGGCTCAAAGGAGATGGTGTTTGTGAGTTCTGCAACAGAAATAACAGAAATAAAGCTGTGCTCTAATCCACTGGCCTGTGAATTATCAGACTCACAGAAGAGCTGGGGTCTACACCAAGTTGCAAGGAATTACAGCCAATGCTGAAGCATCTCTACGGGTCTGGCCTGTCCAAGACAGTGGACACAGTCTCAAGGCTTGCAGTCGCCAAGAAGAAGAAGCCAGAGTCCCTTGGTAGTTCCCGACTCCTTGCCTATGGTAACAGGTTCATCCACTGTAGTATAAAGCACAGTTAAAAATGCGTGTGAACCTATGTACATACCCATGTTTGAATATGTTCTCATTCACATACCCATACATGTATTTTTCAAAATCTATTTCTATACCTGGAAAAGTCTAAAAGGATACACAGCAAAATGTTGACAGTGGTTCTCCTGGGGCAGTAGGTTTATAGATGATTTTTATTTATTTATTTATTTTGCCTCTCTGTATATGCCAAAATTTCTAGAGTGAACATGTATTGTGTTTATAATTAAAATAAATAGATAAATCATTGCCTGCATCCCAAAAGGGAGGAGGGGAAGAAAAGATCTGGGTTTTAGATCAGCTCTGCCCCGGATCTGCATGTTACTTTGGGGGCACGGCTTTTACTCTCTGGTTAGACTGGATCTCCCTCAGGGCCTTTCCCTTTCTGACATTCAAGGATCTTAACCATCCCTCTGCTTATCAGTTAAAGTCCCAAGGGACTCCCCCACATGCACCGCCACTCCAATTATAAATTTATATTCTGCCATTCTGATTTCTCAGGCTAAAACCGCAGACCCTGATTAGGTGTTCACCTTTGTATGAACTATAATAAAAGTGAGTCTCAGGGCGCCTGGGTGGCTCAGGTGGTTGGACGTCTGCCTTCCGCTCAGGTCATGGTCCCAGGGTCCTGGGTTCGAGCCCCGCATCAGGCTCCCTGCTCAGCAGAGAGCCTGCTTCTCCCTACCCCTCTACCTGCCACTCTGCCTACTTGTGCTCTCTTTCTATCTCTCTGTCAAATAAATAAATAAAATCTTAAAAAAAAAAAAAAAGTGAGTCTCCATAAAAGGCCCTGACCTTACGGGCCACATTGAAGTTATGCCTCACTGCCTGGCCTGGCTGAGAGCAATACAGATTAAGCTCACCTTTCTCTCCAGCTAGGCAACAATAATCCAACAGGCCTTGCTGCAGGAATTAAAGGCAGGAGGCATTCATACTTCTTATTACGCTGGGTTTGGATTAACTTCCCAGAGTCAATGCAACAGCAGGATCTATAAGCAAATCCTGATAGGACACAGGGCAGCTGTGTTACCATGGAGACGGGATACCATACGCCCACAGGTTATCCACTGTGTTTGAAAGAGATTTCTCAACCTGGGACAATAAAGGAAGCTGGAACCCGGAAAAGAAACACTTTACAACCAATCCCTGGATGACTCTTAAAAGCGACCTCCTGAGTACCTCGTTGGCAACAGGGAAGGGGGGACAAACCTAGGAAGAATTGAATGCACGGTGTGTTCGATGTTTTATTAATTCCTAGGCTGTGTTATTTTTACTCATTCCTTATTTTGCAGATAGGGAGAGTGGAGGAAACTGCTACCAACACTAACAAAGTTCTACTCAAAAAGAGTAGACAGTGTAGTAACAGTGAAAATGCCTCAGACAAAAGCATGAGGCTAGACATGAACAGACACTGGAAAATAGGGAGGACCGTGAAGCCCAAGTCCTTCCCAGCTCTGCCAAAAGGGGGTGGGGGGCAACTCCTGGAGCAGGTATTCATGCTTTCCCTAGCCAAGGATTCACCGCTCCCCAAATCCTGAAATCAGCACAATGCCTAGGGGGCCAGGAGGGTTCCATCCCCGCCAGCCAGTTCCACCACTTTCCAGCTGTGGGGCCTTAGGTGAGTCACTGTCCTCCCTGAGATCTTTGCCACACCTCTAAAGCAGGCATGCCAAGGAACCGGGAGGAACAGCAGGTGCTCGGTGCACACAGGAGGCTGCCCCACTGGCTATTCCCTCCCCCCCCCCCCCCCCCCGCCCCGTTCCTCTTTTCCTCAAAGTCTAAGAACGGGGCTCAACTGGGGGCCTGGAAGATCACCACCAACGGAGGGAAGGAGAAAGAAGGCCAGGAGGTCTGTCCTTTTACCAGGTTGTTCCCTTCTCACTTAGGCGGGGGAGGGGGGCCACAACCCACCCAGCCAGCAGCTCTCATAGGATTTAGGCCTCTGACCACACAGGCTCAGGGCCTGCACCATCCACAGGAGTGAGCCCAGCTGGACCTCGGCCAGAAGGAGCCTTTCCCACTACCTCTTTCCTGCCTTCCTCTGCCTAATGCTCAGGAATTCAGCTCCCAGTGAGGGGGAAACCTCGGACTTGGCCTTCCAGCGACCTTTTACCTCTCCTGCTGGAGCGCCCTCCCCTCCTGGTTCATTCAAGGGCCTGGCACACACAGATAAGTGAAAAGTGGAGCCTACCTCGAAACCTAAGAGTCCTTAGTTTTACTAAGTTAAGGCCATACTGGCAGAGCTGGACTGGGGGTGCTCTGAAACCAGGAAGAGCACCCAAAGAGGGTCTCATCTTACACCTGTCTGCTTAGCCCCGACCCTCCCCGCCACTTTTTTAGAGCCGAATGACAGACCTTCTCAAGAGGGAAGGAGACAAGAGACCACCCAGTAAAAGATTCGTCAATTTCTGAGTTTGTTTTTTTTTCCTACTTTCATTTTTTAAAACTTTCTTGCGTCCCCCCATCCCATATGACCCCTTCCACTGCCCACTTCCGAGAAAGACTCAGTAAGACGCGCGATCCCCAGGTATTTCGAGACCCCGGTTCCACCCCGCCACTTCACAGATGCAGAAACTGAGGCCCGGGGACCTCGCGGGCAGTGTCTCCCTCCCCCCACCCCGCCACCTGCGGACTCACAGCGGGTTCCAGCGCTCGGGCAGGCGGCGGTGCAGCGAGATGCGGTCGCTAAGGTAGATGTTGATCTGGTGCAGCTGCACGCTCTCCTCCTGCAGCCGCAGCTCCTCGTCCTGCAGCTGCAGCTGCACCGCCTCGCCCCGCGCGCCCAGAGCGTCGCCGGCTACCGGCGGCCGCGGCAGGACCGGGTCGCGCCGCCCCGGGCGCGGAGTACGCAGGGGTCCCGGCTCTGCCGCCCTGGTCCCGCGCCGCTCCCGCAGCACGGAGCCCAGCCCGGCCAGCGCTAGCACAGCCAGCAGCGTCAGCAGCGCCTCGCGGCCCCGCCGCAGCCCCCGCGGGCAGCGCCTCCAGGCCACGCGCCCCCACATGCGCCCGCCAGCTGGGGCCAGCGCTCGGCTCGCCCGGAGGCGGGGGCGCAGACCCGGACCCGGATCCCGGAACCGCAGCGCCGCGCCGCCCCGCCCCCGGCCCGCCCCACCTGCGCCCCGCCCCCTTCCCGCCCACCCCGCCCGCAGGAGCGCGGCCCCCACGCCGCGGAGCGTGGCTGGTCTTCACCGGTCCGCTCCCGCGGGCTTGCTGGAACTCGCACCTTCCTCGTTGGGCTGTGTGCATTATGAACAAAGTGACGGCCGTAAAACCCTCAGCTCAGCGCCTGGCATATTGTAAGCGCTCAGTGAATACTGGCTGAGTGCGCCCTGTAGGGTGCTATGAATTTTACTCCCCTATCTCATGGGACTCTTAAGCAGTCCATTAACAGGGGTAGTAGGATTATCAACTCCATTTTACAGATGCGGGGACTGAGGCACAGTGAGGCTAATACACACCAGACTGTGTCACTGAGGCCTGCAGGCCTACCACAGACGTAATACTGTTTAGATCCCTTGAATAACAAACCTTCCTCTGGCTCCCTGTTAGTCAATCTCTGCATTTTTTAGTCCTCACTTTACAAAGGCGTCCAATAAACTGATCAAAGGAATGACTACCCCCCCCCCCCCGCGAGAAACACATGCATAGGCACCAGTAATAATGATCGCACACACCCAGGCCATCCATTCCCCTGACCTTGGCTAGAGGTTTCCTTTGAGGGGACTGAAGAAATGAAGGAGCCACTGGGGGTGCTGGAAATATTTAACAGGGTCAAGACTAAAGTGAGGCATGAGGCTGTCTCCAAGGCAGAAAATTATAGGATGGGCAAAACAAAACAAAATCAGTGACCAAAAATAAACAATACTTTTAAAAATCAAAATGAGAGCAAAAACTCCCTGAACAAAACACCAAAATTTTAAATAAAGGCGGAATCTGACACTGTGCTTGCACAGCTCAAGTCACTGACCTCACTCACCCTTATCCCAGCCTTGATTCCACGTTTGATCTCAGTGGGGATTACATGGATACATAAGTAAAAAATCATCATGTTCTTCTTTTAAAAATATGCACCTGACTTATGAAAGTTATATCTCAATTCAAAACATAAAAAATAAGTAAAAAGACAGAACTAAGAGAAATTTAAAAAAAAAAAAAGGGAGAAGCCCTGGCCTCCAGCACCAACGCTCAAGTCCTCAACTTGACAGGAAGAGGTCCTCAGAATGTGACTCCAAGGCCTACCCCCACAGCACTGGGGCGGAGGGGAGCGGGGTCTCACCATTCCAAACCTTTGCATATGGTGTTCTCCCTGCTTGAAAGGCCCTGCCCCACCTGGCAAACCCCTCTCTACCCTTCAAGGCCCTGCCAAAAGCCACCTCTTCTGTGAAGCCTTAGACAACTCCACAGCCTTTTATGCAAATGCATTTCAAGATTGCATCATCCTTTTGTGTATTAGTTAGGGTTCCACCAGATAAACAGAACCAGGAGATATATTAAGAGATTTATGGCAAGGAATTGATCTACACAATTGTAGGGGCTGGTTAAGCGAATCCAAAATCTTTAGGGCAGGCCATCAGGAAGGGAAGGCTGAAACTCTCTGGCGTGAGCTGAAGCTACAGTTCACAGGCAGAATTTCTTCTTTTTTAAGGCAACCTCAGTTCTGCTCTTAAAGACTTTCAACTGAGTAAATCAGGCCCACCTAGCTAAATCCCCATTAGTTAAAGTCAACTGATTATAGACGTTATATCTACAAAATATCTTCATGGCAACATCTAAGTGTTTGATTCAATACACTAGGGATTAAAACCTAGATAAACTGACACATCAAACTGACCATCTCTATTCGTTTCCTAGGGCTGCCATAAGAGAGTACTACAATCTGGGTGGCTGAAAACAATAGAAATGTATTCCCTCTCAATTCTGGAGGCTAGAAATCCAAAATCAATTAGTCCTATCAGCAAGGCTATGCTTTCTCAGAAGGCTCTAGGTGGGGGATCCATTCCATACTTTTCTCTTAGTTTCTGGTGTTGCTTGAAATCCTGCCATTGCTTGGTTTATGCACGCGCCACTCCAATCTCTGCCCCCATTGTCATTCTTCTGATGTGCGTCTGTGCCTGTCTGTGTCTCTTCTACTCTTCTTCTAAGGACACCAGTCAAATTGGATTTGGGCCCACTCTAATGACCTCATCTTAACTTGATTATGTCTGTGAAGACCCTATTTCCAAATAAGGAAATTCACATTCATAGGTACCAAGCATTAGGACTTCAACATATCTTGTTGCAGGGGCTCAATTCACTCCATAACACCATCATACTTTGTTAAAATGCTTGGTACATTGGATCGTGCTTAATTTACCCTAGCCTTGTAACAAAAAAAAAAAAAATGTAAGGGACTTAGAGTATGAGCTGTGGTGACTTCATGATCGCAGACCTTAGTATAGTGTCAGACACACAGAAAGTAGTCAATTAATAGCTGGCTTTGTGTCTCCCGCTGCCTTCTGGTGGCATCTGTCTGAACTCGCTGGGGAGGTATCTGATGGAAGGCACAACCTGGTTAAGTGCAGGGAGGAGTTATTCCCAAAATGTAATGAACATGAATTCTTGAGGTCTTGTTGCTAGAAAGCCCTCAGCAGTAACCCAATATGGGAGTTTTCAAAAATCTGCTCCCAGAAACCCCAGAGACCACCCAGGAAAGTAAAAAGAGGCTGGCTGGGTGGGGCCCCAGTTCCCTTCCCTAAAATCAGAGCATTGACACTTTTATCTGCTTCATACTTTGAGCTTCCTTCTTAGATCATAGCACCCTCCTCCCTAATGACCAGAGAAACTGGTAACAACAACCAAAGAAAGTATTTTGTCCAAGCCCACAGCAGGTCAGTGGCAGAACAGGAAATAAAATGGAGTAAAAAGGTGTGGCTGACACCAGTGGATGTCTGCCAACATCCATTTTCCTCTCCTTCCTTAAGAGTAGAACCCTGAGTTTTTGCTTATTTGTTCCTCTGGGCCCATGGTCTAAAGATCAGACATTCTAAAGACTAGAATCCCCAGCCTCCTTTGCGGCTAGCCATGGCCATGTGACTGAGTGTGCAGCCAACGGGCTGTAAGTGGGGTTGTCAGACAGCGCTTCTGGGGAATGTCCTTAAAGGAAACTTCCTTACCCTTCGGACTGTGCATATGAAGACTAGAGCTTAAGCAACCACCTCGGGTCATGAGGTAAAAGGTGTGCACTGAGGCTGGGGACACAACAAGGCAGCAGGACCCAGGTCCATACACTCTAGACACTGAACCAGTCCTGATGGGCTCCATCCAGGCTTTGTTTATGTGAGGGAGAAATAAGCTTCTGTCTTGTTTGCACCACTGTTCCTATGGGTTTTCTGTCCTATGCAGCCAAATCTAATCCTAAGTGATACGCAGGATAAATTGCACAAGAATTCTCCCCAAATCTGGCTCTGATAGTGTGGTGGTTTTAAAACAAGGCTGCAAATTATTGGATACTCCCTTGCCTTGAATAGGGGCAGACCTGTAACTGCTTCAACCATTAGATGATGGTAGAAGGGAAGCTCTGCGACTTCACTGGCTAGGAATAAGAAGCCACGAAGCTTCCATCTTGTTTACAGGATCCCTGTTCTTGGAGCCTTGAGCTGCCGGGGAAGAAATCCGACTATCTTGGTATCATCATGATGGCGAAATCCCAGGTAGGATATCTTGTCCACAGTGCAAGCTGCGCCCAAACCTCTGCCGGCCCAGCCAGCCCAGGCATCAGACAGGTAAGTGAAGAAGCCATCTTGGAAGTAGCTCCACCCTAGCCATTCAAGTCACCCTAGCCATTCAAGTCACCCCAGCCATCCAGGTCACCTCATCTGTGGCCCCAAATGTCATGGAGTGGAGAAAAGAGATGCCCTTTTCAAATTCTTGACCCACAGAATCCATGAGTATGGTAAGGTAGTTGGCATTTCATACCATGAAGTTTTGGGATGGTCCTTTACTCAGCAATAAATAACTAGAACAAATGGATGATTTTAATCGACAGTCTTTTAATTCAGGAAGTATATATTGAGCATCTACTATATGCCAGGCACCATGCTAGGGTCTAGGCATGCTATAATGAGCAAATGTCAAAGAGAAACAAAACCAGACACCAGTTAAAGTGGTAAGGACAGATCTTAATCATTAATGTACTGTTGCAATAGGGAAGAGGGTCCAGCATGAATGGATTCAACTTTGATTTGCACAGAATGACTGGGCATTTTAAATAGAGTCAGGGAAGTGCAAAATTACAAAGGAGTGATCAGCGTAAATGCTGAAAATGCTAGCTGTGTCTGCGGCTGGCAAGTATCAGAGTGAGGATTCTATCCTCACAGAGGCTTGGGAGGCAGAGGCCCTGTCCTTCCTGATGATTACATTGTAAAGGAAGGGCTTTCCATCCTTGGGAAAGACACTCTTGATTTGTAGGAGATACACATACATCTCAAAGGGACAGAGAAAGGATTTATAATTGGAAGCCCTTCTTAGTAAACTCTCTAAGAGAGGGTGGTTAGGGGCGGACGGTTAGGTGTTAACTACAATAAACGGTTAATTCTTTGGATAGCCGTGAGCTTCCTCCAGCAGATATTTAAGGGGGGCTGGGGTGATCCTTCCAGGGCAGCCTTGAGCTGTTAAAAACTGTCAGCATTTAAGTCTTCAGTGTAAAGGGAGGTAGATGTATAAAATCATCTGTGTTCAGACTCTGTCCTCGTTATAGGCCAAGGTTGAGGTCTAGTTGAGAAGAAGGCTCAGAGGAGCCTGGCTAGGGTTTGAGCAAGGAGAGAGTCTTTGTCAGGAGAGGTATTTTTGACATCATGGTGCTTATAGCGCAATGGAATGGACAGATATTAAAAAGGTAACTTATGGGGCGCCTGGGTGGCTCAGTCGTTGAGCGTCTGCCTTCGGCTCAGGTCACCGTCTCAGGTTCCTGGGATCGAGCCCCGCATCGGGCTCCCTGCTCAGCTGGAAGCCTGCTTCTTCCTCTCCCACTCCTCCTGCTTGTGTTCCCTCTCTCACTGTGTCTCTCTCTGTCAAATAAATAAAATCCTTAAAAAAAAAAAAAAGGTAACTTATTAGAGTTGTGGTTAGTGTGTTGAAGAAGAGTCAGGGTGCTAAAAGGGCTTATAACAGAATAGTTGACGGGTTTAGGAAGGTTTCTCTGAGGAAGTAATGTTTATATGGATACCTGAATGTTAAAGTAATATCAGAGATTTCAAATCACATTTTAGGTTAATGTGGAACTCCCTCTGCTGGATCCCAGCTCAGGGCAATGAATAGTTTTGTATCTCCCATAGAAGGATAGAGTCAGTAAGCTGTACTTTTTTTTTTTTTTTTTTTTAATTTTTTACATCCTGGAAAGCTACTCCGAAGCTTTTTATCGAATATTCTCTATTCTCAAGGGGACCACAGCCAAAAAAGTTAAGAGACATAAATCTGGTCTGATTCTCTCATTTTATGGATGGGGAGCCTGAGACACAGAGTAGGGGAAGGGCCCTCGAACAAGCTGGTGTCTCAGGTACAGGGAGGATCTCACCTGCCGCCCTCGTAGACTCACAGCTGCCCTGGGGGAAAGCGTCCTGCCCTGAGCACCTCCCCACGGGCTCCAGGAGGGGGATGGGCCTGCGGTGAACTTGCAAAACGGCTCCTACACAGGACGACCTGCTGCGGAGACTCGACTAGTGGGAAGTGATTCCACCCATGGAACAGAGTCTGCCGGATGGTACTAGAAGGCAGGTGTGAGAGGAAAGTCCTGGAGCTGTGCCTTCTGGCCTCCATCCAGACGCTCAACACAATTAAGATCTGTGGTCAGATTAGAAAACAGACAAGGATTACAACTCATGATGTCTCAGATCAGCTTACCACATTGGAATGCTTCCTGATGCAGGCTCAGCTATAGAGAAGCGAGGGTTGATCTGACACAACCTGGGTTCAAGTCCCAGCTAATGGTAAGAGCTGTCATTTAGCAAGCATCTGTGTGTGCCGTAAACCGCCAGACTTTATTCTTCATTTCACTCTCCCGACAGCATTGCAAGGTAGACAGAGGAGGAAATTTTGGCTCAGAGAAGGGAGGTGATTTAGCCAGTGTCGAAGAACATGGCTGTGACGGAGCAGTGGTTTGCGTCCAGGGCTCTTGACTCTGAATTCAGGATTTCCCACCCCACAGTTCACTGGCAGACTGCTGTCAGGCCAAAAGGCAACTTAGCTTCATGCGTAGGAGCACAACCTCGGAGCCCACTTGCGTGATGTCACACCTCAGCCCCATCACAGACTGCTCTGTGGCCTTAGGCAATTTGCTCATCTGTAAAATGGTGGTAATAATAATGGTATCTCCCAAGTAGGGCTTTTGGGAGGACTCAGTGATGTAGTCCACCCAGCCAGCCTCCCCAGGCTCAAAGCAGGAGGGGGGAGAGTTTCTACAAGGGCAAACGGAAGGTGTCTGGCCCCTTGCTACTCAGTGTGGTCCTTAGACCAGCAGCATTGGGACCACTTGCGAGCTATTGGAAATACAACAGCTCATTAGCAGAGGGAAAGCACAAGGAATGGTTATTAACGATGACAAGCTGGCACCCACCGAGGGCAAATTCACCTGGGACCTTAATTCTTTTTGTACCACTTCCCAAATTGAGTACCTTGTCCTTCCCTTGGGTTTGTTGTTCATTTGGGGAGCTTATTTGTTCTTTGACCACACCATCTCATTTCATCAGCTGTTCAACCAACAAACGGATTTCTGTAGAAGGCACTTTTGATTTGTCGTATTAGCTCCCTTCATAGGGATCATTTCATCCCTTTGGGAGTTTAATGTGATATATGGTAGATGTGGTATTTCAAACATTAGTGGGGAAAAGATGGCTGATTTAATCAATGATTGGAGCAACTTGATAGCCATTTGGCTATCCTCATACGTTACACCATTTAGATCCAAATGATCTAAAGATGTAAAGGTAAAATAATAAAAAAAAATCCAACAATAAAAGTATTGGATGGAAAAAACCCAGAGACCATTATAGAAAAGATTTATAAAGTTGACTACATAAAAATTTTAGTATTCCATAAGGCCCAAAATAATATAAAGACAAAGACAAATCAGAAAGAGACATCTGCAGATGACATTTACCCAGTATGTAAATCAACAAGGAAATAAAAAGAACAGAAATAAAGATGGCTGAAAGATCTGAATAGACAGTTCCCCCAATAAAGAAATAGAAATGGTCAGGGTGCCTGGGTGGCTCAGTCGGTTAAGCGACTGCCTTCAGCTCAGGTCATGATCCCAGGGTCCTGGGATCGAGCCCCGCATTGGGCTCCCTGCTCGGCGGGAAGCCTGCTTCTCCCTCTGCCCCTCACCCTGCTTGTGTTCCCTCTCTCGCTGTGTCTGTCAAATAAATAAATAAAATCTTTAAAAAAAAAATTAAAAAAAAAAAAGAAATACAAATGGTCTAGAAACGTATCAAGATATGTTCAGTTTCTCTATTTAAAATGCATGCAAATTAAACTTACTCTGAAATATTTTTTCATCTATCAGATTGGCAAAGATTTAAAAGGTTATTCATTCCAGTGTTGGCAAGGATGTGAATAAACAGGCTGTTTATTCCTACCACTGCTGGTAGGAAGGCAAACTGGTATAACCCTTTGGAAAGCAATTAGGCAACATTTATTAGAAATGTTAATGTTCATATCCTTTTGAGTCTGCAATGTCATATCCACAGAAATAGATTCACAAGTGCTCAAGAGATGAGCTTAAAACAAAAGTAATAAAATACTCTTTGGAGATGATTTTACTTCCAGGCCCTCTGTACCTCCTCCCTAAGCCACTGCATGGGTCTCTGGAATCCAGTCCTCCTGTTCCCTCTTTCCAACCTGTTTCCTCGCTTTTCCTACCATAACTCAGATCTCTCCCAGTCTTTCTGCCTAACCTGTGGCCAAGCTCTCCCATGAAGCTGTCAGTGATACCCCGAACTGTGACACCTTCCTCTGAATTGACAGTGAAAGCTCATAAACCACGCTCTCTGCAATCATGTGGAATTCCCTGGGAGCCAGGGGCCATCCCTATCATCCATAGTATGCCATCACAGACACAATGCCTGGCACACAGAAGGCGCTCAATCAACGTTGGTCGGATGAGGACTGTGTTGGTGATGGAGGTACACTGCTCAGATCACCCTTCAAGAGAACCCACTGGGCAGAGCACAGTTGACAGACAGCCTCCAGCTGCTGTGCCTTCTAATCCTCTGTGAAGTTCTTGCTGAGGCTGTTTCCCCTGGTTTCTCCCAGTCAGTGACTAAGCAGGGGGGTACAAGAACCTAGCTACTTCTGTCTGTTGCAGGACACCCTAGCAGGCCACCTTTGCCTGGGGACTCCCCAGTGCTTGGCTGAGACATTTCTGGAACCGCACAGCACTCTGGAGCCTTCCTACCCCAGCCTCCTCCTTCCCACTCCCATCTCCCAGCTGTAGCATTTGCATTAGGGTCTGAAGGCCCTCCTTCCCTTTTCCTCCTCCTTCCTCCTTTATCCAAGCATTTCTCCTGGGGGCGGGGCGGGGGGAACACCTTGGCATCTGGTTCTCAGAGGACCCAAAACAACAACAAGAGGGATCAATGAAAAAATACTGGAAGAGAGTTCATACTTAATAAGACTACAGATACACTTGCATAAGAGGTTTGTGTACAAAGATGTGCTGGATTCATGCTTCGAAAACTATGTGCATGTGAATCACCTGGGAGTCATGTTGAAATGCTGATTCTGGTTCAGGAGGTCTGGGGTGGATGCAAGATGCTATATTTCTAAGAAGCTCTCAGGTGGTACCAAGGCTGCTGGTCCAAGAACCCCATTTTGAGCAGCAAGGTGCTGGAATGTTTATATGCACCACTGAGTCTCCTCCCTGCTCTGAACCCTGGGAGGATGACTGGGGGGTGGGGGACCACAGCAGCAGGCTCAAACCTCGGCTAACAGTTGGGTTTGGCCAAGGAGGAGCACTAGAGAGCAGGAGGAGGGGGAGGTCAGAGGATTTTATTCCTCTGCGGATTTTTCCCTACTAGGTTACCATAGGTTGGCTGTGTCCCTCTACCAAAGGTCCTAACTCCTATCAGCCAGAAGTCTCCATTTTCTCTCTTGCAGAATTCCAGTAACTGCTCCTCTCCCTTCCCCCTTCAGGCCTGGGGTGGCAATGGCTCCCCACTGTTAGCAGCTTTGGAGTACTGCACCAGCTCTGGTGGCTCTTAGTAAACTCTGTCTACAGTTCTGTAATTAGTCCTTTAGTAAATGTTCCTCATTTCTTCAGCCAAGTGTACCGTCGTCTCCTGCTGGGACCCTGACTGCTGTAAGCACTGTCAGCGCAAGATTTTTTTTTTTATAATAGAACATTGGAAACAAGCTAATTGTGCATCATTAAAAAAATGATTAAATAAATTAGGGTACATCTGCTTAATGGTGTTACATGCACTAAAAAGGATACAGTAGATCTATAGTCACCTACGTGGAAAGATGCCCAAGCCATTTGTTAAATTTTTTAAAAAGTAAGATTCTGAATAGCCTGCATAGTATGACTTAATTCATTCAAAAAGTGAATATGCATTTGTGAAGGCTGGGATTGCAGGGGATGACAACCCTGCTCAAAACAAACCTACCAAAAAGAATGGGGGAGGAGGGGGAAGCTGCGAGGATTTTCCGACTCCATCTCTTTCCATCACTTGTCTCTGCTTCACTCCCAGGCAGACTGTCTTCAAGTGGTGGCAGGGCAAGCACAGTGTGGCTTACAACATCCGGACATCCTGACAGCTGACAACCTGAGCACAGAGGCCCTTGTTCCCAATTGCTTTAGCAAAAACTCCTGGGCTGAAGCAATCAGGATGGGCTTGGACATATGCTGACCACTGAGCCATACAGACTGAGAGTGGGGAGGGAGGCTCCCTAAAAGAAAGAAGGCTTTTCTTCCCAGAGTCGGAGAAGCAGGGCAGGTATAAGCAGCAGATATTCACTCTCGAGGGAATATTTGTAGTAGACATTTGTTACCCTTTTTGGCTGCCCAGTATCTGAACCCCCTCCCTATTCTGGAGAGTCTCCTACCTTCTAGGGCACCTATCCTGGAGTCTGCCTTCTGCTATATATGCTGAGAAGGCCAGAAATGCACTTTCTCCCTTTTTTGCCAGGCAGAACACGTGACCCAGGCTGAGCCATTTACATGCGCTCATCTCAGGCTCTCACTCTGGAGCTGGTAATTCCAAAAAGGGCCTGTGCAGACTCCATCTGAGTATAGGGTGCAGCCATGGCGTGATGTGGTGCATCGTTCTTGGTTGTGGGCCTTCCAAGATTGGTTCTCTGGCCCTCATGGGATCTGTGAACTACAAAAAGAACCTTGTATTAAATCCCCTTTCTACTGAAATTATCCAGAGGGTTTGTTTCTATAGCTTGCAATCAAGAAAGTTGATCAATGCCTATATGTACGTATGCATGTTTGTATATGTGTGAAACATCCTTGGAAAGATGAAACAAATGTGAATATTGGTTACCTATGGGGAGTAGGACCAGGAAAGTGGGAGAAGAGGGAAAGGGGCTTTTACTTTTGCCTTATGTCCTTCTATACTGTTGGAATTTATTTTTTACCACACATATAACTTTTATAATGAAACAGCTAGTTATTAAAAAGATAGCCAATAAATAGAATTTAAAAAGGATGCAATTATTCAGGATTTTCACAGAAACAAATGCCTTCATTAGACCTTCAAAAGGAAATCGTCCTCACTTTTGTTGTGATTGAGGCCAAATCTGGAAGTGAGTGAGAGTGTACCACTTCAGACACTGGGCCTACGTGTTTAGCTCTAGCCCTGTAACTCGCCTGCTCACTTTCCATGGCTCCCCATTACTCACAGAATAAGTCCCACAGTCTTCATCCTGGCATTCATTGGCCCTCGGCAATCCGAGCCCTCTGTACTTTCAAGACTTCTCATCTTTACACTTTGCTTAGAAGACTTTTTCTGGGGCGCCTGGGTGGCTCAGTTGGTTAAGCGACTGCCTTCGGCTCAGGTCATGATCCTGGAGTCCCGGGATCGAGTCCCACATCGGGCTCCCTGCTCGGCAGGGAGTCTGCTTCTCCCTCTGACTCTCATGCTCTCTGTCTCTCATTCTCTCTCTCTCAAATAAATAAATAAAAAAAATCTTTGAAAAAAAAAAAAAAAAAAAAAAAAGAAGACTTTTTCTTCCAGCCCTGCTGGCCCAGATCCTAAGGGTATTACGATCTTCTCTGATCTGCCAATGCCATGACCCTTATTCCTTCTTCAGGACCTCATCAAGTGCTGATCTGTGTTATAATTCTATGTATACGCGACTTAGCCATTTACGCATCATGTACTGAGCACCTACTATATCTGGCCTTCTGCTAGGTTTTCCGACCACAGCGCAGTCTGTGGAAGCCAGTTACCCCATATCAGAATGTTAATGTTATCACGAGGAGCAGGCGGTTGTAAGCAGTTTGCAAACACGTTAGAAGCTTTTTTCCCCCTCTGCCTGGATGGCACTCTCCCCAGATGTCAGCATGGTTCCATTATTTCAATTTCTTCAGGTCTCTGTGTGAGTATCACATTCTCAGTGACACCTTCTCTACCCATCCTATTATAAAATAACATCCCATCCTTTATCCTATTTACTTGGATTCAGGTTATGCTCTAGTTATTGTTTCAATAGCACTCATCACTAACACACGTACAAGTTACTTACTTGTTTGTGTATTTACAGCTTGTCTTTTCCCACTGTTAGCTCCAGGAAGGCAGGGATTTTATCTTGTTCCTGCAGCTTCTCCAGCACCTAGAACAGTGCATAGCTGGCACTCCATAAATATTTGTTGAGATCAGAGCACAGGAGACCGGGGTCCCAGTCACAGCGCTCCCGCAGGATAGTCGCGTGACTTAATCTCCCTTAGGCTTCAGGTGTCTCCTTTGTAAACTGGGGGTGGTCACCTGAGCCCTCCCTGGTGACTGACAGGATGCCGCGAGGATCAAACACGGGTCTCAAACTTCAGTATGCACCAGAATCACCCGGAGGCCTTGTTAAAATACACCTGGCTGGGCCCCACCTGCCGAATTTCTGATCCCGTAGGTCTGGGGTGGGGTCAGGAAATTTGCATTGGTAACACTGTCCCAAATGGTGCCGATTCAAGAATCACCGATGAAAAGAGAGGAGGTACAGGAGGTGCTTGTAGCTTTAATTCCCTGGTAAGGACCGGCTCTGAAGGCCCCGCAGGACGTCCCGGGGGCGGGGTACAGAGTGGACCCATCCGAGCCAACAACTATTTGGGAAGCTGCGGTTAAGCGCCCGGCGCCGGCGGGGTAGGGAACAGCGGCGCTCCACAGGCCGGGCCCGACCGGCGGGGGACCCAGACCCGGTGGTTCCGAGCTCGCAGCGTGAGTGGGCTGGAGCAGCCGTTCCGACCTCCGCGCGGGGCAGGAAGTCCCCGGAGCCTCCGGGGGGGGCCGCCACCGGCCGCCGCACAGGCAGAGGCGAGCCCGCTCGCCCGGGCGCTCCGAGCTTCCCGGAACTCGCAGTCCCTCCCGGCGCGGCGAGGACGCGCGGCCCGGCGTCCGGCGCGCGCCCGGCACACAGTAGGCGCGCGGCCCCGCCCCCCGGCGCGCGCCCGGCACACAGTAGGCGCGCGGGCGGCGGGCGGAAGGGGGCGCTGGCGCGCGGCATCCGGGGGCGGAGCCGGCGCGGCCCGGCCAGACCGACGGGCGCGGGCCGCCGGGCCGCAATGGGCGAGGGCGGGCTCCCCCCGGCCTTCCAGCTGCTGCTGCGCGCCTGCGACCAGGGCGACACGGAGACGGCGCGGCGGCTGCTGGAGGCCGGGGCGGCGGAGCCAGCGGAGCGCGGCGCGGAGCCCGAGGCGGGCGCGGAGCCGGCGGGGGCCGAGGCGGCCGGGCCCGGGGCGGCGGCAGCGGCGGCCGGAGCGCCAGTGCCCGTGGACTGCTCGGACGAGGCGGGCAACACGGCGTTGCAGTTCGCCGCGGCCGGCGGCTACGAGCCGCTGGTGCGCTTCTTGCTGCGCCGCGGCGCCTCGGTCAACAGCCGCAACCACTACGGCTGGAGCGCGCTCATGCAGGCAGCCAGGTGAGGGGCCCGGGATCCCCAGGGGTGGTGTCCGGCCGCCCGGCCCCGGGGCCAGGCGGGCTCAGGTGGCCGGCCCAGCCTGGCGCCCCTGCAGACGGCCCGGGAGGTAAAGAGTCAAGGACTCGTGCCAGAGAGCTGAATGGTATACTTTGGGCAGCTTGGGATACTACAAGAAGTGGGAGCGCTTTTTTAGAATCTTAGAAACTGGGCCTTTCGAAACAATCTGAAGACCGCGTTGAATAGAATCTTAGAGACACATCATCTTAGAGGTGTTCATTCATTCCTTCTTGCAACAGGAGTTTCCTAAGAACCTACCCACCCTAGCCTGGGTGACGGGGACACTGGGAGCCAGGCACACTGGGAGCCAGGCACAGCCCCACCAGGCGCAGCTCACAGGCCAGTGGGCAGGCCAGACAAGAGATCAGGCTTGATGGGGAAAGGGTAGGGAGCTCTGGGGATGGTAGACCCAGTTTGGGGAAGTGGAGGAGGGTTTTTGGTAAGAATGATGTATGTATTCAGGTGGAGACTCCATAAGAATTAACGGGGACAGAAGAAGTGGGAGGTGGGAACGGGGTGATAGGAGGCCCACGCAAAGGTTTGAAAGCAAAAACGAACATAAGGCATTGGTAGGACTGCTAGAAAAATGTCAGTGCTAAGAGAGGGCTGGAAGTAGTGGGAGAGGAGCCGCCCCTGGAGAGGAGGCATATGCTGTGTGGCAGGGCTGAGGAAGATGAGCTCTCCTAAGGGCACTGGGGAGTAATAGAAGGCAGAGTGACAGAATCAGATTTATGTTTTGGAAACATCACTTTCCCTGCAGTGTGAATACAGATTGGAGGGATGGGCCAGCGTCCGAAAGCTTGGTTCACAGGGGATTGCAGCAGTCTAGGGAGAGGTGATGGTAGCCTGGACCAGAGCAGAGACAGCAGTGGAGAGCAATGAGATGTTTGAGATATACTCAGGAAGCAGGATGAACAGGACTTGAAGCGCTGGTGGGAAGGAACTCTGGTATGCAGTAAAGTCACTCACCCCTGTTGGCCATCGTCTTAGGCCCCACCCACCCCTCAGTTTGGTCTCTGGTGGGTGTTTTAGTATCAGAAATGGTTACACTCATCTTTTATCCGATTCTGAAAATAAGCTTTTTCGAGCACTTTTTGTGTCAAGCGCGGTGTTCAGTGCTTTAAGTGAAGTAACTCATTCAATCCACAGAAACCTTAGGCTATGTAGGTACTGTTGTCACCCCCGTTTTACAGATGAGGAATTGAGGCTCAGAGTTAACTTGCCCAAGGCCACACAGCTAGTAAGTGGCACATTCACACCTAGGCAGGTGGCTCCAGAGCCTGTGCTCCCAGCCTCTGCTCTCTGCCACGAATCCCGTAACCGACTGTTTCCTCTTGGTGTTGGCCACAGGGACGCTCCTCGCCAAACTGGCCAAATGCTAAAGGGACAGGTTGTGTGCGTGGTGTTTACTTTGGCCCTAACTTCACCCTTGGTCTCTTTACTTTCCTTCTCCTGCCCTTCATTTCTTTGCCTGTCAGTGTGGCCTCTCTGCCCAGTGCTTTGGGTGGTAGGTTTGTGCCAGGTCTTTAAACACAGGTGTTAATTGCCGAAATTAATTGGTAATCACAGCAGCTGTTCAGAAAGCCCCACACTTCCCTGTCCTCAGTAATTACCTATTAGAAACTTAGCATCCGCAAAATTATCTCAGCCTTCCTTGAATTCTTTTATGTTTTCAGCCTAATTGAATGACCTCTTGGGCTACCCATGGGTTCAGAAAGTATTCCAAATGTCAGCATTTCTGCTCAGATTCTCTCCTTTTCTTTCTGTCTCATAATGTTTTATACCAGAAGAGCTGGGGTTTGGGATTTTAGGATCTAGGTTCAAGTTTTGACTCTCACTTTCAAAAGGAGAGGCTCTGCTTTCCATTAAAATCTTCAGTTTCCTCATCTGTGAAATGGGCATTATCCGTTTATTTCAGGGGTTATTAAGATCAAATGAGATAAAAATGTGACAGTACCTTTTAATCTGCTGTGAGGAATTATACTAGGTTTTATTTTATGCTTGATAACTAAATAGGTGTGGTTTTTAAAAATTTTCTGCTTCCATGGAGGATACATGAGTTCTTTAGTCCTTTCCATGGCCCGTCTCTGGACCGTCCTTTACTTGGTTATGGCAGTCATTCATTTGACTGACACTGAGCCCCACTCTCAGTCAGCCACCAGTCCTGTCCTCGGAGAACACAGTCTAACGAGCAGACATAATGGTAGAAGGAAGGCTCAGGCGCATCCTAGAGGCGAGGACCGGGGATTGCCTGCCCAGATGAAGGGCACCTGAACTCATGAGGGGGGCGGTTCTGGAAGCTGCTCAGAGGAGGTGAGCTCTGAGCTGAATCCTGAAGCAGGATGAAGGGTATACTTAGGAGAGGCGGACAGGAGGGCACTCTGGGCGGAGAGGCAGGATGGCAAAGGCAAAGTTGTGGGAGGAGTAGGATTGGTGGGCACAGGCCAGCATGGAGCCAATGACGTGGGGGTTGGGCGGAAATGAAGTTGGCCCAGCCAGGGTGGACAGGCCTCTTCAGGCAGTGGGAAGCTGGGCAGTGGCCGTCAGGTTTGGGAAATGTCATTTTAGGCTGAGGCAACCCCACCATGGAGGATGGGCAGGAAGGAACAAGACTGGAGGCAGGGGGACAGGCTGGGGTTGCAGCTTTCTGCATTTGAGTTTCTGTCCTTTTGATTTGCTCCCTCTCTGCTCTTGGAGAAGAGGAGGGACAGGCCCGGTCCCCCTACAGCTGGAGGAGCCCGTTCTCCAAGCTCTCCCTCCAGAGGCTGAGGTGACCTGGTGCCGCTAAGGTTCACGTCTCTGAAGGTATTTGTAAGTTCAGATCAGAGTTTGGCCTTGGCTCTGCCTCCACAGGGAGAAGGGAGGCCCTAGGTTTATAGGAGGTACAAAACTCACTTCCGGAAAGGGGGGGGTTGCAACAAGAGATTCAGAACGCTGCCTCGCAGATGCGGACGTTATGCAGGCATTATGGTCCCTCTCTGGTCATTCTTCCCCGGTTAGTCCAAGGCTCCTTCCAGCCCTGATACTTCGCTGCTCCGAGCCCTGCGCCAACCAAAACCCTGCAAAACAGATCTTTTCTGCCCTCTAACGGCAAAAGAAGGCAGAGGTTTTGCTGGGAAGAGGCATCTGTTTTCCTGGTAGCGGAGTTGGTTGGGGGTCGCCTCTCAGGCGGGCTCAAGCTTCCTGGAGGAGGGCTTCGCCCAGGCCCATTTCCTAGCCCCTGGCAGCGGACATTCCTGCCAGCAGGTGGCAGCAGGCCTCTGGTGAGAGGTGCCTGAGCCCATCTGGGCTGACCACAGCCGGGCTACACCTCTTGGCATGGGGTGCACTGGCTCATCTTGAAGGACCTTCTGTGTGTGGTTGGGGATGAGTAGACATGAGTCAGACATGAGCCCTGCCCATGGGAGTCAGCACAGGCAGAAAAGTAGATTACAAGGCTACAAAGCTGAATAAAATGAACTCTGAGATGTGGGAAGCAGCATGGTATAGGGGAAAGAGTGAGGGTATCAGGATTCAGACAGACCTGGGTTCTGACCCTGACACCACCTCTTACCAGCTGGGTGACTTTGGTACTTAGTGTAACGTAAAAGGTCAAATGATTATTATAACATCTGACACTTATGTGGTGCTCCTTTGGCCAAGCACTGTTCTGAGTGCTGTATATATTATATATTTATATATAGTAACTCATTTAATTCTCAACAGCCCTTGAATTAGATACAATTACATCCCTATTTTACAGATAAGGCAATGAAGGCATGAAGAAGCTAAAGTTCTTTCTCAAGGTCGTACAGCTAGTGATTGGCAGAGCTGGATTTGAACCTAGACAGAGCGGTTGTTCACCTTTGTGATGGTAGACATGTGGGGCCAGCACAGTGCCTGGCGCCAGAAGAGGACCTTTTACTATAAGTAGCTATTATGACTTTAATAATTAATGACAAATGAGGATTACATAAGCTGTCTCCATGTCGGGGCTCCATGTTAGTGTCACTAATTCTCCATCTTCCTGGCAGATTTGGGCACGTGAGCGTGGCACACCTACTTTTGGATCATGGGGCTGATGTCAACGCCCAGAACCGGCTAGGGGCCAGTGTGCTCACTGTAGCCTCTCGGGGTGGCCACCTGGGTGTGGTGAAGCTGCTCTTGGAAGCTGGTGCCTTTGTAGACCATCACAACCCCTCAGGCGAGCAGCCGGGGGCAGGGGACAGCAGGGACGAACTATTGGACATCACAGCCCTAATGGCTGCCATCCAGCACGGGCATGAGGCCGTGGTGCGTCTGCTGATGGAGTGGGGTGCAGACCCCAACCACGTGGCCCGAACTGTGGGCTGGAGCCCACTGATGCTGTCGGCGCTCATCGGGAGGCTTGGCATGGCCCAGCAGCTGGTAGAGAAGGGGGCCAACCCTGACCACCTCAGCGTGCTGGAGAAGACCGCCTTCGAGGTTGCACTTGACCGCAAGCACAGGGACCTTGCAGACTACCTGGACCCGCTGACCACGGTCAGGCCCAAGACAGGTCAGGCTGTGCCACCACCAACCCTTCCCTTCCCTGCCCTGGCTTCACAAAGGACCCTAAACTGTGTTTAAATGACAGAAGCTGAGGGTCACCCAACCAGAGGGCATGTACAAATCAGAGTCTGGCCTACCGAACAGTGGGTCTTAAGATGTGCTGTGCATAAGAATCGGTTGGGAGTGCCTATTACTTGCAGGTTCCTGGGCCACCTTCTAGGGTGATTTGGTATCTGTGGGAAGAGCCTGGAACCCCCATAGCAAGACCTCTCCTTTCCAGCCGGATGATTCTGGTGCAGGACATCCTGGGATCTTTCTAGAACAGAAGTCAGCAGACTTTTTATGGAAAGGACCAGAGAGTAAATATTTTCGACTTTGTGGGCCAGCCTCTGTCAGAACCACTCAATTCCGCTAGAGTGAAAGCAGCCATACGTTATATGTCAGTGAGTGGGTATGGCGGTGTTCCAGTAAAATTACCAAAACCGGTTGGGGAGCACATTTGGCCCAGGACTATAGTTGGCAACCCCTGCTCTAGAACAGTGTGCCCTCTGCCTGTGAAGACCTTGGCCTCTATAGGGGAGACAGGCAAGAAACAGGAAATGAACATTAAATCCGGAGTACGATAGGTGGGCAGTGCCTTGGTTGGGGGCGGGGCAGGGGTGGGGTTTGGGAGTGGTGACTGGGGCGCTGCAGGCTGTCCCTGGTGGGTGGCCTCCTGGAGCAGGTGAGACTGCAGCTGACGTGCAGGAGCTGAGGGAGTGCTCCAAACAGGCTCTCAGGGAAGAGCCTCCGGGTAGGACAGCAGCAAGGGCAAAGGCTGCGTTATTAACGATAGATTATGAAATAAATAACCATTAGCCCCTAGCTATTTTTTTTTTAAAGATTTTATTTATTTATTTGAGAGAGAGAACGAGAGACAGCACGAGAGGGAGGAGGGTCAGAGGGAGAAGCAGACCCCCCGCTGAGCAGGGAGCCCGATGCGGGACTCGATCCCAGGACTCCAGGATCACGACCTGAGCCGAAGGCAGACGCTTAACCGACTGAGCCACCCAGGCGCCCAGCCCCTAGCTATTTTTGTGAGATGCCAAGAAATCCGCCTGGAAGACCCCCAGTTCCCTCCCTCGCATTAGCTACAGGACAGGGTACCCCCCCCACCCCCACCGTGGTTGTTCCTTGGGCTGGGCAGGGTCCCCAGAACTACTCTGCTGCAGATGCCAACACTGGCATCTGGAAGGAGGAAGGGACCAGCCAGGGTCACTTGGCATCGGTGGCACAGCTGCCCCAGCCTTCTGGGGTCAGGCTAGAGGGTCAGTGATTCTTTTGTGTCAGATGGTTGTTTAGCAACCAACACGCAGGCCAGATGACACACTTTTCCCTCAAAGGGTCTTGGCATGAGAAGGCTCCGTCCGCAGCAAATTAGACTCTTACACACTTAAAGGAAAGTGACATATTTAAAACTAAGATGCAGAATCCTTCCTTAATAGTATTGCACAAGCAGAATTAGACACTTGGTTCCATGGCCCTGTCTGTACGTCTCTATAAGAACCCTGGAGTTAAGGAATACCCTTTCTGGGGTGGGTGCCAGTCACTAGTCAAGAGAACAAAAATTGCTGTTTGGATTTCTGGAGCATTTCTCATCTGTCTTCTTGACCTCTGCAACCACCATGTGGTCCCCATAGTAGCATGTTATCCCCCTGTTGTTGATGAAGAGACTGATCATTCTGGAAACATGCACTCAAACTCTGATATGCTCACTCCAGACTTGGTGATCCCTGCACTGGGCTGCAGCTTCTTCTCGGCTGCCTGAGGGGGCTGACCTGGACCAGAGATTTAGCCCAGAGTCACAGGTTTCCCTCACAGCCACTCCATCTCTGGAGTTAGCCGAAGACTGCAGGAGTCCTACATTTGGCCGCCTGCGAGGGGGCTGGTGCTGAGGATGTCTGCTTTCTGACAGCAGCACTGGTACCTGCTAGTCCAAGCTTGGAGACAGGTGACCGATGAGCAGATGAGGGAGGGGCGAGCATGGGGTGGGCACAGCCGGGCCCCGGTTTGGGGGTAGGCGTGGGCCCCCGTACCAGCTGCGCTGCAGAGACCAGCATGAAAACATTAGGTGGACAGTGGTCTGCAGGGTCCACGTCTGCAAGGCTGGGGCAGGGGTGACTTTCAGAGTCGTTCAGATTGCTTCTTATTTGAGAAGGAGAACGAAAATGAACATTGGCTCTTCTGGTGGCCACGTCCATGACCTCCGCCTGGGCTCAGCTGCTCAGTGTCTCTGCAGCCCTCTGCTTTGGAATTATCTCAGGGTTGTGCATTTAGTTTTTAGTAGAAAAGAATCGCTTTTTAAACAAATTTTTTCATAAGAATACAGATTTTTCCAAGACTATACTCTTTTATTTAATTTAATTTTATTTATTTGAGAGAGAGAGAATGAGAGACAGAGAGCATGAGAGGGAGGAGGGCCAGAGGGAGAAGCAGGCTTCCCGCGGAGCAGAGAGCCCGATGCGGGGCTCCATGCTCCATGCGGGGCTTGATCCCAGGACTCTGGGATCATGACCTGAGCCGAAGGCAGACGCCCAACGACTGAGCCATCCAGGTGCCCCATAAGTAATGTATTTTTATTTTTATTTTTTAAAAGATTTTATTTATTTATTTGAGACAGAGAGAATGAGAGACAGAGAGCATGAGAGGGAGGAGGGCCAGAGGGAGAAGCAGATTCCCTGCCGAGCGGGGAGCTGATGCGGGACTCGATCCCGGGACTCCAGGATCATGACCTGAGCCGAAGGCAGTTGCTTAACCAACTGAGCCACCCAGGCGCCCTATACTTTTCCATTACATCTAAGAGAGGACATCCCAGAGTTTGGAATGCCCCCAAATGATTGCTTTATGGGTGTGGGATCAGGAAATGTTCTGCTTATTCATGTTTTGCTGGCCAGATGACTGCCCAAGATCTATCTCTGGAGCATTTGTGGACACTCTGAGAATAACTCTTCCAGAAGGGCTACCGGGTTCGTCTGTTACATGGGTCTCTGATCAGATTGCTTTTGGAAGGTAGATCACTTTTAAAGCTAAGCTGTATTGTTACATGCGTGTGACTTTTCTGTTCTATTAAGTCTTTTGTGGTTAACTTTTAAAATCTTTGTTTACCTAGATGAGGAGAAAAGGCGGCCTGATATTTTCCATGCATTGAAAATGGGTAAGCGCTTTAGAAAATCTTTTTGGAGATTTATGAATATAGGGACACATTCTCTCAACCTAGTATTTGTAGTCCTTTTCAAGGCCACCCAGGGTGTTTGAGAAAGAAACAGGCATTTTGTTATTTCCTGACTCGGTGGTTCACACAGGGAGGTTCAGCCCCTGGAGACTGGTAGTTATTATGGTGCTTTATACACAAGTTCCAGACTGCTCTCCCAGCCCCCCCCCCCCCCCCCCAGCCAAACCCTGTGGCTATGTTCTGGCTTTTCCCTACCTCTGAAATGCCTCACTGCCTACCTGCCCGCTCCACTGTCTTTGTGATGAAGCTGAAAATCTCTCCTGATGTAGACCCCACCTCCAGGAAGCCCTCCCTGATACTCACCTCCTAGGGAGATCTGAGCGCTCTGCGTGTACATTGCCCTTCATGTTTCCTTCATCTGTTCTCTTAGGATATCAATAACACTTCTCTCTTTTAGAAAAACCATTTGTGTGCTTGCCTCTGACCCTTACAGATGGAGAGATCTGAGAGTGGGGGCTCCCTCTTCCTCACCTTTGTAGCCCCTCTGATGCCCAGCAGCCCAGTGCAGAGGCAGGCTGAGTACTAGTTTGTTACCGAAACCTGCTGGATAAGTCATCCGGCTGCGCCGGGCCCCCAGATCACCAGATCTCCTGTTTCTGTGTGCAGGAAACTTCCAGCTGGTCAAAGAGATTGCGGACGAAGACCCCAACTACGTGAACCTGGTCAACGGGGATGGGGCCACTCCGCTGATGCTGGCAGCTGTCATGGGGCAGCTGCCGCTGGTGCAGCTGCTGCTAGAGAGGCACGCTGACGTCGACAAGCAGGACAGCGTGCACGGCTGGACGGCCCTCATGCAGGCCACCTACCATGGGTCAGTGCCGGCCCCACTCCCTCCGTGGGAGGCTGATGACTCCCTGAGCCGAGAGAGGGGTCTTGATGGGCTTTTCTGATCCTGAGAAACTCCAGATGAACTCGAGGGCTGTGAAGCCCTTGAGGTGCACACACAAAAAACCCAGAGCAGCGCAGGCTCGTCTACCCTGCATTCCTATTCTTCTGTGTCCTGATGCTCGTGACCTCATCACAGAACTAACCAGTGGCCATAAAAACCGTGCAGCAGGAAAGTTTTATGCAGGCAGATAAGCTTCTCTAGGTTGATTTCAGTGGAACAGTGATCAGTTTGTTTGGAGTGTTCACACTGATGTCCATGTCCTGTTGGAAATGAACATCGGCTGTTCATACCATTGGCTTCTCGGCACCCGGCAGTGAGACTTGTCCTCACCCTCTCCTTCTGAATAGGCGCCACCATTGGCTGGTGCTTCTGAATCCCTTCTCCTGTCCTCCTGGAGGCCACCTCTTCCAGGTAGGCTGGCCCAGAGGCCAGGAGCTGCATACGGTCTTACAGCGGCCAGGTGGTCTGATTCCAAATTACCAGCCCTTTCCTTGCCCTGTTTCAAGTGATCACAGCACTTAACTGTGTCATCTCGAAGCAGTTTGTTTTCCTATTTGGTCAGCCTCGGGCTTCCGCGTCAGACACCTCGGCCTGTGTGGGGCTTCCACAGTGCGCGGGTCCCGATTTGGGACAGGAGTAGTTGGGACCTGCGTGTGGCATGGTGGCCACATGGTCTTCCTTTTGTTTGTGGAAGGAACACCTAGGCTTTGGTTTCTATCACATTTGGGTCTGACCTGCCCATGGGGTGGGGAAGGAGGAGTGTGAGGCCGTTTGCAGCTTTCCACGCCCTTCTTCCGGGCTCAGAGATGGGGCACTATACTTAATATCAGCTTCCCAGGAGCAAAGCCAGGCTTTGGCTTTCAGTGTGTCTAACTCTGGCTTTTTCTTTCCTCCCCAGGAATAAGGACATTGTCAAATATCTGCTAAACCAAGGGGCTGATGTCACTCTTCGTGCAAAAAACGGGTACACGGCCTTTGACCTAGTGATGCTGCTGAGTGATCCTGGTGGGTTGTTCCCTGAAAAGGGTCATAAACCTGCATGGCCTTTCTCTGGCTAGGAATGGAGAGAATCACCTTTGTTTTCAGCCCTTGCTTACTCATGGGGGAAGTCACTCTCAAGCCCCAAGGGCTCACCACGTGTCCTCAGGCAAGTCGCTTCCCTCCTCAGCAAAGGCTGGGCTGGCACCAGATAATCCCCTGGGTTTCTCCAGCTCCAGCCTTCAGGGAGTCTCCCAAGAGGGAAGGCCAGCGAGACACGCATCTGCCTCAGCAGTCCACAGAAGTCCCAGAATGGTAACTGGGCTTCGTAGCCAGAAACCCTGACTCAGGGAAACAAAAAGTCCCCTTTGACAAGCAGAGTCAGAGACGGAGCAGTGGCCTTCTCTGCTGAATTGCGTAAGTGGAGGCCGCTGGGTCAAGGGCACCCTTCTGGGGCTGTCTCCGTCCCTAGTCCCACCTTTCTTGGTCCCCTTGGGCCCTCCCCCACTATGACAGGCCCTCCTCTGGGACCTGAGGCATACAGTCAGTCAGCTCAGGGGTCAGAGTCTGTCTGTCTGTATGTCTGTCCTGCTTCCTGTTGCCTTGGAGTTTCAGCCCAGGGAGGGAGAGAGGCTGTGAGGCCCTCTGACCCACAGACTTTGAGCCCTGAGCCAGATCCCAACCTGCTGGCCTTGGGAGAGGACTTTACCTCCGTAGTCCCAAGTGGAGTTACCCCTGCTGCTTCTCTGGGCTACGGGGTGGCAGGCCAGAGTGCCCTGCCTCATCGCTGGCATTGCTGCCCTCACCCCAGCCCCCCTGCCGCGGGCCCCACGTGTCTCAGGTGCATACCTGGTTCCACTTCATCCTCGCAGGATGTGTGAGGGGAAGCCGAGCTGCATATCCCCTTGTGGAGGGGAGGTGACCAGGGCCAGGGGAAACGACTTGACCCAGCTGGCGAGGTGGGGTCCTTTGCCCAAGTCCAGTGAGCTCACTCCGTGCAAAGAGTTCGTGTCATTAGAATCCACCCCCTGCATCATGCACGCATTTCTCGAGCAAACTTGTGTCTCACGGTGTCTCTTCTCCCTTGCCGCTGACCACTTCCCCACTGCCTTGTGCATTAAGACCCCCAGTCTCTCCCTAGTCGATTTTTTTCCTGGTGGGTTTGTTTTTAAACAAACTTTTTGCCTGAAATTTTTGAAGACACACATGCTTATTACTGAACACTTGGAGAGAGAAAAAGAAACAGTCATCCAGAGGAAAACACTGTTAATAGTTTGTAGTATTCTCAATTTCGTTTATTTATTTATTTATTTTGGTAACCCAGGTAATAATAATAATACTTAACTTTTCTTTTCTTTTTTTTTTTTTTTTAAAGATTTTATTTATTTATATGACAGAGAGAGACAGCGAGAACAGGAACACAAGCAGGGGGAGTGGGAGAGGGAGAAGCAGGCCTCCAGCTGAGCAGGGAGTCCGATGCGGGGCTCGATCCCAGGACCCTGGGATCATGACCTGAGCCGAAGGCAGACGCTTAATGACTGAGCCACCCAGGCGCCCAATACTTAACTTTTCTTAAGCACTTACCTTATGCCAGACGTGCCCTCGAATCCCCCAGACACCTTTATGTGGTGCATGCTGTCACCCCTTTTCCAGAGACACTGAGAGGTTCCCTCATTTACCTGCACTTGCACAGCCAGGGAGGGGCAGAGGCAGAATTGGAGCCCCTGCCATCCGGCTGCTGAGTGTTCTTTTAAGCCACGCCACCCCCCTGTCTTTCTGTGGGGAGAGGGCTCCTGGTTTTTCTCTCTGGTGAAGTGGATGGAGCCCCGTGGTCTGTTTGCCGCCTCCTGGAGACCAGATGGAGAGGGCGGGGCCTTGCTCCTGGAGTAACAGACTCTGGAGGCCCAGGGCTGGGTTCTGAGGCTGACCGGGGTCTCCTTGAGCCCTCTCCTCATGGCCCAACAGACGTATCTGCAGGTAAAGCGCTGCCTTTTGTGTCCATAGACACGGAACTTGTTCGACTGCTGGCATCTGTCTGCATGCAGGTGAATAAAGACAAAGGCCGGCCCAGCCACCCACCGCCTCTGCCCCACTCGAAGGCCCGACAGCCCTGGAGTGTCCCAGTGCTGCCTGATGACAAAGGCGGGCTTAAGGTTGGCCTTTTCCTGTCCTCAAGGGCTTGAGAGGGTTAGGCTGACGGGGTGGGGGATGCCTGCCGCTTCCTGCTGACCTCGGGCTGCCCAGCAGGAGCAGGAAGTAAGCCGGGGGTGAGCAGTAAAGATGGCGGGTATCGGGGGGACCAAATGCCTCTCCTCCCAGGCCGGGTGTGCACGGCCTCTGCCCCTGCACGTGGGGTACTGCTGCTCGCGCCGTTCTCGGGTCTCCCCGCAGCCCCCGGGCCTGCATCCACGGCCTTCTGGAAATACCAGAACAACCTCCAGTTGCTCATTTCTAACTGCAAGCCGAGTATTTTTCTTCGAATTTCTGCTGCCCATCCTGCTCTACTTGTCTGAAATCAAACTTCCCTCTTCTCCATCCTGTCTGGGGTTCTGGAGCCTCTGCAGATCTGCACACTCTGCCCTTTGTTCCTGTCCGTAGCTCACACGAGCTCCCGCAAGCCCCGGGTCTTCCTCTCTCTTGGTGTTGTTTGCCTGGGTTCCTGCAGCCCTGTGCTTGCTGCCGTCTCCCTGGGCCAGGCCCTCCCAGCCTCCCCTCCCCCTGTGTCGAAGCCTCCGAGCGGTCACGGGGTTATGGGACACCCTGGGGGGTGGCACCAGTCCTCTTTCTAGGTGGGGTGGCATCAGCTGCTGGAGCAGATGGCCCGGGCCTTGCTATGGACACCCGGCACCTCTCACACTCACAGGAGTGGGGGAAAGAGGTTACCCAGTGACTGGTGTCACGGTGTTTGGTGTTGTCTCTTGTCCATCTGTCTGTCTCTGACTCACTCTAAGACTCAGCAAGTTGGCACCCCGTCTGGGTCTCCATTTCTCCATCTGTGCCGTGCGGAGATTGGGGAGCTGAGGGGTGGCAGATGGGGTCCCCTGTCGGACGTGGGCCCCTAAGGGCTGAGTCAGGAGGGATTTAGAGAGAACCATGGCTTTGTGGGAGAGGGTGCGGAGGCCGACTGGGAAAACTTGTCATGCGCCCAGGAGAGCAAGGGGGAAGCATGTGTGAAGTATAGTCACCATCCGGGGGCTGGGTGTTCATGGAGTGTGACCTCTGCTTGACATTCCCTTGGCAGTCCTGGTGGAGCCGAATGTCCAATCGGTTCCGGAAGCTCAAACTGACACAGACCCTGCCCCGTGGGCTCTGCAGCAACCAGCCTTTGCCTTTCTGTGATGAGCCAGAGTCAGCGCTGGACTCCACAATGCGGGCTGCCCCCCAGGGCAAGACAGGCTGCCCGGGGCTTCATGAGGTGGCCCCCACAATGAAAGAGAATGGTAAGAAAACACTGCATGTGCTGTGGAATTTCCAGAATGGCCAGACCCAAATTCTCTGCCCTTTGTCCTATCTCCTGGGCTGATGTCAGAGGTGAGATGCTATTGGGATGTGACACGGGAGCAAAGCAGCTGGTCTGGGGGAGGACCGGCAGGCAGGGACAGCAGTGCAGTCAGCGTGGTAGAATGGGGATGTTGGTGACAAGAGTCCCTGGCAGCTGTCCCACATACCCTGCTGAGGGACCTGAGCCAGTCACTACCTCTCTCTTGCCTCTGATGGGTGCTTTTCCCACCTGTCCAACATGATTGGTCTCTGGCACTGGAAGGGTTTTGAAATAGAATGAGTTATCTGGGGTGGGGGCTTGGGGGTTGGGTAGTGAGCTTCCCACCACTGGAGATATTCAACAGATTGGATGACTTTGCCAGGGCATCAAAGGAGATTCCCACACTGATTGGAGAATTGATTAGATCACATCCCTTCTACCAGACTCCCCGCACCCAGAATAGCTCCTTCAGCATTGTTTGAGACAGCCTGTTGAGCTGGGTGCACCCCTGTCTGGCCCGGCATGGCAGTGGTTTATGGAAAAGCTGAAAACATGCTTTGAGAGATACCTTTTAAATGCTTTCCTTCTATTCAAATATTGAATACCAATTATTATTAAATATTTAATCCCCCAGGAGAGTTGGTTTTCCAGGATGAAGGCTGACCTGGTCACTCATCCTTATGCCGTGAACTTGTTGGGGAGGGTCATTTCAGGAAATTTCCATTTGTCTCTCAGGTCCTGGGAGCATGAGAGGAGACAAAGAAGATGTGTTATTGACAACCATGGTGAGTGTGGGGCTTTTCTAAAAGCATTTCAGGTCTCTTAACAATCATGAGTTGGTTGATTTACAAGGCTGGATGTAGACATGTGTCTGTCTTTGTGGTGGTCACAGATGGGGTTGATACCAAAATGTGTAACAATGGGCACAGCTCAGGCACTGAGGAATGGGAACCAACACCAGCCAGAAACCGTGGGTAAAGCTGTGCTGGTGCTTAGTGGCCGGATACTAGCCCTGATGGTGTTCGCAGGGAGGCAGCACTGAGGACAGGGCTTTGAACAGTAGGACCTGATGGGGCACCTTGGACTCACCATTTCGGTTATGGGGAGTCAGGGGGAGAGGAGTCACAGAGGAGGCTGTGTTTCCAGCCCGAGAGGCCTCGGTCTCCTCACCTATGAACCTAGGATTAGGTTCGGCTGTGAGTAACAGAAAGTCCTCAAATGACAACAGCATAGATGAGACGGCAGCTTATTTTTTCCAAAGGCAGCTCAGGACTGGTACGTTGACCCGTGGAGTTAGGGACCTGCTTCCTTCTACCCGTGCTTGGCTTCTGTTACCAAGACGGCTGCCAGAGCTGTGGCCATCACTGCGCCATTCCAGCCAGCAGGAGAGATGAGGGGAGAAGCAGGTGTCTTTGAAGTTTCCTGGGAACTCACACATCACTTCCGCTTAGATCAGTTCGGCCAGCATGTGGTCACGTGGGAGTCACTGCACGGGAGGCTGGGAAATGAAGTCTCTGTTCCAGGTGGCTGTGTCCCATTGCAATGCCAGGGGTGTCTACTAAGGAAGATGTGGAAGGATGGATACCGGGGGACAGCTAGCAGTCTTTGACTTAAGGGAGGCTATCCCTCCTGGTTGTTTCTTTGAATAAGTTTATTCCCAGGAAGTTCTTAGCATAGTGCCTAGCTCGCAGTTATCTGCTGTGTGACCTTGGACGTGTGACTTCACCTCTCTGGGCCTCACGTTGCTCTTGTTTGAATGAGAGCCTCCTGGTTGGGGTTGAACTCAAGTCCATTTAGCTCTAAGACCTTGATCTGGAGGCTGGCCAGGAGAGGGCAGTATTGGAGAGGAGAAGGGAGCAGAAGCACCCCCAAGAAGGCCTCAGCTGCCTCAGGGACCAGCCGCTCCAGGCGCCACGGGCTGAGTGCTGACGGATCTGCTGTCTCCGCCCTGCCCTGCTATGCAATAGGTGTGCATCCGTGTCTCTAGACCAGTTTACCAAGGTGGGAGCTGGTGCTGCCTGACACTTGATAATCTCATTAAATAGCAGTAATTACTTTTGTATGAAGACAAGGGCTGTTACTGAAATTTTAGAAGATGCAGTAAAGTATAAAGAAGAAACATAAAGTCACCGTTGATGATGCATATGATCATGACTGACATCTTGTGCTATATATCTTTTTTGAGTATTTTTCTAGCCACTTTTTTTAGCATCTACTAGTGTATTATGTCATGTGTTAACAATGGCAAATACGTCCCACTTACTTAACAAGTGCCAGCCACTACTCGGAGCACTTAACGTATATTCGCTCATTCAGTCTCCCCGGCATCCCTGCCTGTGAGGTTGGCAGTGTTCTTTTCCCCATACGGTGCTGAGCCTGACTTATTACCAGTTCATGTGATCATCTGTTGCGTGTCATTAAACACTCTTTAGCCACATTGCATTGAATGGCTGCATGATACGACCTTCCATCATGGGAATGTGCCTCACGGACCAGTGAAGGCTCACCTGTTGGACTCTGGGGTTTTTAGTTTTTTGTTGTTTCACAGATCTGATGAATAGTCTTATGCCTCAGTTTCCCCCGCTTGCCTGATTGTTCCCTTGGAGTAAATATCTAGAAATAGAATTGCTGGGTCAGTGGGTGTGAATGTCATTGCCTTCCAGAAAGTTTGCAACAATTTAGACTCTGTCCCCAAGGAGTGAAAATGCCATCTGTGGTGGGTTTGCAGTCCTCTTCCAGTCCAGCCCCCATTGCTGGATGAGGTTGCTGAGGTCCAGACGGGACAGCACCGTTCACGGACTCTCAGAAGAGCTCAGGACAGCCAGGGTGGGACCCAGCATGCCCAACCGCCGCCTGCCTTGCACGTCCCTGTCCCACCTCCTCGTGCCCAGTGGAAGGCAGCAGTGTGCTGGCCTGCCCTTCGGCAGATGGAGGACGGCCAGGGAGCCCTGCCGAGTGGGCGTTTGCAGCCATCCTTGTGGAGATGCATGCCTGCCCGGCTCCTGAGGCAGGTTGAGCTGTGGGATGCCCTTCCCTGCAAAGCACCATCTGGCGCCAAGTCCACCGTCTTTTCTTAATTAAAGTTAGTATGGACTGTGTGAATGCTTTTCCTTGACAATCCACCAGTCATCATTGTGTGGATTTTATACTAACCCCAAATCACATTTTCAAAATATAAAATTACAGTTAAAAATGTCAGCAGTGGGAGGTGTGGCTGGAGTAGGAAGGGTGGGGTGGGATGGGGAAGGGAGTGTTTGCTGGGCTCCCAGAGAGCCAGCCTGGGCTTCCCGGTCCCCCCCGCCGTTGCCCTCCCCCATCCTCCTGAGACCCCCAGCTCTGCATGCACGTCCTGTTCCTCTGGCTGCCAGGCCTGCCTGCGTTCTGCTCCCTGGGCCTGCAGTGCCCTTTTCCCCAGCCCCCCAGGGTCCCTGTCACAGCACATTCAGCATCCCTTGGTCCCCTCCCCCAGCTCCCCATCCCCTCTGTCTCCATTCTAGCTGCTCTGATGGACATAAAAGAAGCTGGGGGTTGGAGCAGAGTAAAGGAGGGTATTGCTTGGTTGCTGGGAGAAGAGCAGAGGATACCACATGGGTTTCTGGCCGGGTGTGTATTGGGAGGGGTGAGGGGGTAAATGACGGTGCCATTCTCTGAGAAGCAGGAGAAACCTGGAGAGTTCCGTGAAGAGCCCCACCGGGGCTTGTCTAACCCACAGCCTGTCTTTTTCAGCTTCGCAATGGAGCCCCCTTCCCCAGACTCCCGAGTGACAAGCTGAAGGCAGTCATCCCCCCTTTCTTACCCCCTTCCAGTTTTGAGCTGTGGAGCTCGGATCGGTCCCGGACATGTCACAGTGGGAAGGCTGAGCCCGTGAAGACCGTCCTGCCCCAGAGAGCCAGCAGGGGCGCCCCCGTGGGCGTGGCTGGTGGGAGCACAGACGCTGTAAGTCACCCGGTGGATGTGCTTTGACATGTCACTCACCACTCATTGAAGTTGGCGTGTGTTTCGGGCAGAAGGGACCTCAGACCTGCTAATCCAGCAAGGTCGAAGCTTTTAATTTCTTTTAAATGAGTGTTATCCTTTTGTCTCACGAATCCTACAAAGGGACTTAACTTTATAAACAGATTAAAACATAGTGTGAAGGGAATGAAAGTGGGGGCCGCTCTTCTCTGCCTTTTCTATGGAGCCCCGGATCTCCAAGGAGCACAGCCTGAAGACCTGATGTAATCCAACCTTCCCTTTAATAGATGAGGAGACTGGGACCCAGAGAGGGGAAGTAACCTGCTGCAGAGCACCCAGCCACATCACGTGGGCTGGGGACCAGGAGTCAGGTTCTTGGTTTCTTTTTTTTTTTTTTTTAAAGATTTTATTTATTTATTTGAGACAGAGAGAATGAGAGGGAGGAGGATCAGAGGGAGAAGCAGACTCCCTGCCGAGCAGGGAGCCCGATGCGGGACTCGATCCCGGGACTCCAGGATCATGACCTGAGCCGAAGGCAGTCGCTTAGGTTCTTGATTTCGAACCAACTTCCACATTACGTCATTGCTCAGGTCCATGACAGGAGCAAACACTAAGAGGCAACTGTGTGCACTACTGGTATTTTCTTATACCACAAGGAGTGGGACTTGTAGCTTTTTTCCCAGAGTTGCTTGTGACTTTGTGGCCCTTTGTGTGTCTCTGTAATGTCCCGAGGTAGTCCCTGTTGGTGGGGGAGGTTATTTCCATGTGTGTAGACTCCACACCGTAGATTCAGTAAATGGCAAACCAAAGGTGAGGACTCAGGGCCCTGCGCTGTCATTGTGTGATCAGTGACCAGAAGACCTGAGAGCCCCCAGCTCTGTCCCTAAAACGGGGCTGACCTTTGCTCGCTGCTGCCTCCGGGGGCTGTTGCAATAGCCCATCTGTAGTGGGAGAGTGAGCCTGGCCCCTGGAGGTGCCCGACATGGGCAGGGCTGGCTTGCATCTAGTCTGCACTGTGGGAGGGGTTGAGTGATGCTCAAAGTGCGGTGACTCGGGGACCGATGTCATGGGGGCATGGCCTGAGCTAATGGTCTGGTTGTCAGCGGCTAGAAGTGAACTCGCTGGGGGACTCCTGGCGGGCTGAGCACCAATTGGCGAGGGTGTGCCAGGCGACAGGCATCAGCTAGGGTGAGCCAGGGGAATCCGGGTCCCTCCCCGCTGTGATCATGTGTGCCCAGAGGAGGGAACAACACACCCAAACCACAACACCCCACTTATTCTTGCAGACTCCTGTGAGGCCCGTTAAATTTCCATCTCTCTCCAGAAGCCCCGCCTCTCCTGCCAGTTCTGGAAACTTCAACCACTCACCTCATTCCTCAAGCAGCTCCAGTGGGGTAGGGGGCTCAAGCAGGCACGGTGGGGAGCTGCATAACCGCTCAGGTGGGTACCAGGCAGGGCCACTCAGGGGAGGCGGGAGGGTCCCCTGGGGCTGCGGGTGTGAATGGCCCCCTGCGCTTGCTCGGTGGACAGTCCCAGGAGCAACTGTACACACCCTGTCTTCCTCCTTCATGTGGCTCAGGGATTCTTCAGTGAATTCACAGTGTTGCCCTTTGCCCTCCAGAATGGCACTGTTCATACTCGTAAAATACTTAACAACAGCACGTGACACCTAGTTATCCCCTTACCGACGTTGGTATCGGTGTCCTCCCTTGGATCCTCCCTAGCCCTGGATAGTATCACTTTCCCCTGTCCTCTCATAGTAATGCAAGGTTGCTGGTGGGTTTGGGACAACTGGGCAAGGGAACATGGCAGTCCACTGAGTACTGCGGGGTGAGGAGGTTACCGACACAGCTGTGGGAGTGGTGTTGGTAAGGCCCTGGAAGGGGGGTCCGAGGGCGCACGCTGGTCGGGCAGGCTGTGCGGCTGCTGGAAGGGGCAGTGTGGGGACTGCTGTGGGCGGCCAGGCCAGGGCGTCTGCCTGCGGGAGGCCGCACAAGCTGGCTGTGGCGTGGGGAAGGTGAGGACAAGCTGATCGTACCTGCGCTGCCTCTTTCAACACCTCTCACCATGATGCCTTCGGAGCATGATGGCCACTGTGTCCTCTCCACCTTCGGTTTTCACGCACAGGCCTCTTGTGGTCAACCTGGACCCACAGCCACACGGGGTTAGGGGGGCGTCTGGGAAAGGCGTTTCCAGCTCCGTAAGGTCAGCACACAAAGTCCACCACACCCCTGTTGCTGGACCCTGGACCCCTGGCAGTCATTTCTGTTCCTCTTTCCTCAGGTGGTAGCATAGACAGTGTCCTGTCACAAATTGCTGCCCAGAGGAAGAAAGCAGCCGGATTATCGGAGCAGAAGCCCAGCCACCAGTCAAGTCCCCTTGGGCCAGCACCAGGGTCCAGCTCGTCGGAACTCCCAGTCTCCCCTGCAGGCGGTGGCGGTCCCGGTGGCAAGGTGTGTGTTCTGTTTCTCTCTCCTTCTGTTACACTCTTGGGTTCTGTCCTCACGTGGCTCATGTGCTGGGGAGCACGGGCAGTGCCGAGGTCGTGGGACGGGACTCGAGACAGGCCCCTTGCAGCCGGCTGCTCCCAGGCTGTCTGCGGAGGGCTGGATCAGGCCGGCGGTTGCCAGGGTCCCACCCTGTGCCCTCGGCCGCCTGCACATGTGCGTCTACCTCCCACCTGATCTGCAGGGCATCTCCAGGTGCCTCACTCAGCCTCACACTGTGTACGTTGGTTCATAGCTTAGAGCCAAGAAGTGTGGAGCACTTCAGGAGCAGACTGCCTGGGATGAGATCTCAGCCCCACCCTTGAGCATTTTGCGGGGGGCCCGGCCCCTGGCCGGTCTGTGGCAGCTGTCAGTGCTGACGTGCCCAGCAGGAGTGGTCGCGCCCCCACCTTATGCCTGCACCGTGCACGGCTCTGGGGTGGCTGCTTCGTGCCTAGCGCTGCTGGCAGCGAGGGTGCGGCGGTCTGTCTGACGGCTCTCAGACTGTCACTGCGGACTCCGGCAGTGAGGAGGGGGCATGCCGTCGGGGCACAGATGGGGGCCGCTCCCCAGGCTTGACGGCATCAGTGACACCTACAGGGGGTCTGAAGGATGAGGAGCCAGATGACGGCGACAGGGGTGAGGCTGCTCCAGGGTAAGGCACTCCAGAGGGGAAGAGCTGAAGCAAGGTCGGAAGGCAGGCCAGAGTTGGAGTCTCACCTGTCTGTCCGGCAGCATTCCTCCATTGATGCAGCCCAAGAGCAGGCAACACGTTGTTAGTTTCTGTGTGGAGTTTGCGTGGCCCTCCACGTGCCCCCCTCCGGTGGTTCAGTGTAGCCCATTTTGTCCTGTGAGAGGACCCCACATCCAGGCACTATCCCACTCTTTATATTTTTTTAGATGTCTTAAGCTTTTTCCCTGAGAAAAGTTAGATCATGTGAAAGCCTCACCCCTGGACCCTTGCCCAGAAGTGCCTCCAGAGATTATGTTTTAATGGATGTATGAGAAATAATCTTCATTTTCTGCCCACCACTGTTGGTTACATAACTTTTGGTTATTCAAGGTCCCTTTTGCAATCAGACATACATAATTAGGTTCCCATTATAATAGAGCTCCAGAAAGTTTCTCTGTCCCTATGCGTTAGCATATTTTCCATTATATTGAAAATTATTTGTGTAATAAGATCTGTGTAATGAGTTCCCTTTAGAATTCAGCTCTAGAAAAATGTCTCTACTGATACTTTCATACATTTTCTTTCCTTAGATAAAAAGAATTATATAATTATTTCTCTTTTTGCTTTTGCTGCTAGGAAACTCAGAGCTACTAATTAAAGTAAGTCTTCTTGTCTGGGCTTTGATATAGTTTTCCTCTTCTCTGTTGTTTAAGAATTTCTATTTCTATTTGGATGATCTTATGATGTGTTAGATATTGTTAGCTTCCTTTAACTGGTGTTCAAAATAGGTAGGCATCTAAATTATAAGTTAACTTATCTCCCTTGGCTGCGTCTATTATATATAATCTATGTACAAGTATATTCTGATGAAAGGAGATTGTGTCAAAAGATGCATTCAGGAAACAAACTGGGGAAACTATCCAGTTCAGTGATCACCTGATACTCCTAACAATGTTGGGGAGCTCTCTAAAAATTCAGGTTTCTGGGCTCCACCCAGCATAACTGAATGAGACTCTTCAAGACAGGATCTGAGGACTCTGATTTTCCCCCCAGAGAGTATTGCAGCCAGCCCAGCCCAGGGCTTTTAGAAACAGCTGCCCTAAATCAAAGGACACAAGGAGTGGGCTTTCTGTCAAAGGCTCCAGCAGCAAAATGGAGACATGAAGTGCTTGTCAAAGACTCCCCTAGGAAGAATTAGAAATTAGTATTCAAAATAGGAGCTTCCTGAATCTGGTTTTTGAACTTTACTTCAGACAAGCACCACTGTAATGGTGGAATAGTCACAAGACATGGCTTTGCCATGTTCACGAATCAACCTGAGGTGAACCTGGGGAGAACCAGGGGGTGAGGGACATTTCAGTGTGTGTGTCAGTGCTTCCCAGACCTCTGGAGGCCCAAAGTCCCACTGAGTACATCAGCTCTCTATTCCCACCCTAGAGCCTAGTGGTTTAAAACAAAAAGCATTTCTTTAGCTTGTGAACCTGTGGGTCAGCATTTCAGTCTGGACTTAGCTAGTCAGTCGTTCTGGTCTGGGGGGAATCACTTATACATTTGGCTGTTGGCTGGGGTGACCAGGATAACTGGGCCATGTGTGCCCACAACAAGCTTAGATATGTTCTCATGACAACAGCCAAAGGCATGAGTTGAAAACCAACCAGGTTGTTTAAGAAGTCAGCACACCCACTGCAGGAGAACACACAGAGTTACATGGGAGGAATTGAGATGACACTATTAACACAATCAGTCTGCTATACTGGGAACCCCGGTAATAGTTCAAATATTTCAGAGCACCCCAAATAATCATATTTATCTGTCCCCCCACCCCTACCAAATAATGCTGCCCACAAGATCCAGAGTATCATGCTTCTTTGCTTTGGCTGGGATAGATCTGGTTAGTCGGGATATACTAATTATCTCCTGCTTAATTAGAAGCTGTATTATTGAATGTCCTTCTTTATAAAAAAGCAGAAAGAAGAATTTATTAACAATATATGCAACTAAATGACAAAATCTTTCAAAATCTAAGAGAGGGACTTGTTGTTCCACTCTGGGATGTGGTTAGAAGGAGCATTAAAGGCTTAGCAGAAGGAGAGGTGTACCCATTTCCATGCATTAGAACTATTTATCTTAGCCTCTGCTATCCTAGTTAAGATGTACAACTTTACCAAATATTACAAGACCTACAAAAAGGCATGAGAAACTGCACTCCCAAGAAACAGCAGTCATCAGAACCTGACTCAGATATGACAAAGATGTTGGAATTACCAGACAGTGAATTTAAAAGAACTATAATTAATTGTTAAAGGCTCTAATGGAAAGTTTGAACATGGGAGATCATAGCTATTTCAGCAGATCGATGGAAACTCTAAGAAAGAATCAAATGAAAACTCTAGAAATAGAAAACAGGTAACAGAGACAGGCATGCCTTCGATGGGCTCTTCGGTACACTTGACACAGCCAAGGGAAGAGTCTGTGAAGTGGAAGACAGGGTAAAAGAAATCACCCAAACGGAAGCACAAAGAAAAAAAGAAGTTAAAAAATAAGAACAACAAGAACAACAAAAAAACAGTTGTGGGATAATGTCAAGTGCTCTCACATACAAGTAATAAGAATCCCTGAAGACAAAAAGAGAAAGAGAATGGTAGGACGGAAAGAATATCTTAAAATAATGCCTGAAAAATTCCCCAGATTAATGATAAATGACAAATCACAGATCCAGGAAGTTCAGAAAACACTATAGGATAAATATCAAAAAGAAAACACGTAGCTGTATCCTAGTTACACTACTGAATAAATAACTCCCGTAACTCAACAATAAGAGGGGCGCCTGGGTGGCTCAGTTGGTTGTTTCTGACTCTTGTTCTCAACTCAGGTCTTGATCTCAGGGTCATGAGTTCAAGCCCACATTGGGCTCTATACTAGGGCATGGAACCTATTTAAAAAAAATTGTTTTTAACTCAATAAAATAACCAACAAATTATAAAAAATAGGCAAAATGGATACTTCAAAAATATACAAATGGCAAATAAACATATGGAAAAATGTTGAACATTAGCTATTGGGGAAAATGCAAATTAAAACCACAGCAGCATAGCACTATATACCTAATAGACTGGCTAAAATTAAAACCAAGAATTTAAAGATACAAGTGTTGGTGAGGATATGGAGCTACTGGAACTCAGATGCCAGTGGGAATGCGAAACTACAGCCACCTTGAAAACGTTTGGCAGTTTCTTATAAAACTAAATATGCACTTACCATATGAACTGGCTGTCTCCCTCCTAGATATTTACCCAAGTGTATTTTCAAAAACTGTTCATGCCAAAATCTGTTTGTGAATGTTTATAGCAGTTTTCTCCATAATCACGCCAAACTGGAGACATGTCTTCAACAGGCCAATGGATAGACCAGCTGTGGTACATCCATGTGATGGAACGCTGCTCAGCAGTGGAAAGGACAACACTGTTGACATGTGCAGTAACTTGAATGGATTTTCAAGGCAGTTTGCTGCACCAGCCCCAAAAGTCTACATATTGTATAATTCCATTTATGCGACGTTTTAGAAAAGACAAACCCTTAGGGATGGAAAACAGATCCTTTATTTCTGTGGGTCGGGATGAGGGGGAGAGTGACTAGAAAAGGACTGGACAAGGGAATTTTGGAGGTGATGGAACTGTTCTTGTATGGTACACAACTCTGCGTTTATCAAAACCCAGAGAATTTTACACAACCAAGTTATTTCTGCTGTATGCAGATTTTAAAAAACGGTATGAACCAGGAACCAAAGATGGGAATGCAGACCATGACAACAGATCTGTATTACAAATGACTGATGTAAGCACACGTTGGGAGGTGGGGGTGGGGGGAAACTGTCGAGTGGATATGGTAAGGCCAAATACAGACAAATAACCGTACCCAAACACTGTACTCTAATTGATGATTTTTTTTTCTTGTAGGGATATGGGTTAAATTCTGAAACCACTTTACACATAGATACTTTTTGTATACATATACACTTTGTTTATACTAGGGTTGATCAAATAAGTAAATATAACGAGCCCCCTTTTTCACTGTCAGAGATTGAATCAAAGGGGAAATGCCTGAGCAAACCCCATGGATATTGGACTGTTGTCAGAGGTGTCGGTATGAATCAATATGAATGCATGCCTATAAATATGTGTGTGTGTGTGTATATATATATATATATATATATATATATATATACAGATTGATACAGTAGTAAGTGTGGCTGTGTGTATACATGGCTCAGTATACTCTCTTTCCTTGCTCTGTCCACCCTATAAGCAGTGACATCCCAGTAACCACGAGCAACCTAGTACCCAGATTTTGGTTTCTAAATACCACTCTCCAAGAAAAGGGACCAGGGCCTTGGAGAAGTGGTTTATTCCAGTGGTGGGTCAATGAAAATACAAGATGAGCCTAAAGCATTTTATGGTTTCAGAAAGTAAGGAAAGGAGACGGCCTTAAAAAGAAAGAATTAAAAAAAGGTGGGCATGTCAAAAGGACATAGGAGCCCACCTGAAAAATCTCAGTGGCCAAAACTGGAACAATTTGAACAACCATAAAATAAATAGCAATAGTTATTAGATTATAGCCCAAAGAATAGCGTGAATATCCATGAGCCCATACTGATAAGGAATAAATAACTGAATAAACAGGAAAAGGAGCAACTCTTCCTTACAGAATTCCAAATAATAAGTGAAAGGTAAGGAAATAGCAGATCTTATATCATTAGAACATCACAGTAGTATTTGCTGTAGACAAGATCAACTGAAGAATGCTAAAATTACTGGGAGCAACAAGATATTTAGCTCAAAATCTACCCCCCCTCCCCCCAAATATTTGTTAATTATAAAGGGAAAAGGTAGTAACTTCACCATGGAGAAATCAGACAGACACTACCTTAATTAAGTGATGAAGGTCAATGTTATCAGTAATAAGAAATGGGTACTTTGAGATTCCTGGTATGATGCAGTAAGAGTGGCGCATTACCTCTGGGGCCATTAACCCCCAAATCCATAAGCAAATCTAATTATGAGAAAATAAAAGGTTGACCCAAACTGAGGGACATTCTACAAACACCTCAACTCTTCGACAGTGTCAAGGTCATGAAAGACAAGGGAAGGTTGGAGGAGGTCAGAGGGACATGATAAGTCAATGCAACGTGGGATCCTGGACCAGAATCAGGACATCAGGTGCAACAACCAGTGAAATCCGAGTGAAGTCCATAGGTTAGCTAATAGTATTGCATGACTGTTAATTTCGTAGTTTTGATGATTGTGCTATAGTTATGTAAGCTGTTAACATCAGGGGAAGCTGTCTGATGGATACACAGGAATGCTCTGTTCTATCTTTGCAACTCTTCTGTAAGTCTAAAATTTAAAAAGAAGGCACTTTTTTTTTTTAAGCAAAATGACACACAAGGGAAAAATGATGTGTTCTTTGGTGGAAGGTTGGCAATGACTGGTTTAGATCAAGGACCGTCAGGAGCAGAAAGGGACTTCGTGCATTTATAAGCCACACTTCCATTTAGAGCTGGGTTAGCTGAGAGGGAAAGGGACTTGGCCAAGGACACAATGCTGGTAGCCGTACGGGCAGGACTAGCGCCCAGGTTCCTGGCTCCTCAAGGGCTACTTTTTCCATCCTACCCCCTGCCTCTCTGCTCCAGGGGACGATTTTCCTGTGAGTGTTCTGACAATACTGTTTCTGCTTTGCGTGTGTTTTAAAGTAGGTTTCATCGTCCTGGTTAGATAACCTTGCTGAGTCAGCACCCATGTTCCCTGTCGAGTGTGTTTTAATTGCTTCTACCCTCCAGGTGACAGCTTATGTATTTGCTTATTCTTTTCGGCAGAAACTGGAGACGAGCAAAAGGCCTCCGTCTGGAACTTCCACTACCTCCAAGAGCACCTCCCCTACGCTCACACCCTCCCCTTCACCCAAAGGGCACACAGCTGAGTCCTCGGTGTCCTCCTCTTCGTCCCATCGGCAGTCCAGGAGCAGTGGGGGCTCCAGCAGTGGCACCATCACAGATGAGGGTGAGTCCCCCAAAGTCCTGAAATACCACCCTTTCCTCTTTGCCGCTGTGACCTGGCAGGTGCTCTTAATTGCGATAGCTGTCCTAAGTCAGGTCTTTAAGACTTCCAGCAAAAATTCCTATCCCTTTTCTTCCCTGATTCCACCTTGAATTTTTATCTTTACCGTGCTAATGGTATGGCAGGCTCCCTCAGCTGGTTTTTCAGCATAGGTGAGTTTTGTGGACATACCCAAACATGGACTTATAGAGATGCTTCTCCAACACCAGTTATGGACCTTTCCCCAAACCTTGTACAAATCGGAATTCTGTCATTTGCAAGTAATGCAGTGTCCACTCAACCTGGTTTAAGCAAAAGCAAACAACATAATTTGTTGGCTCATAAAGTGGAAGCGTCTAGGGTGTGCTCCAGGCATGTGCAGATCCAGGTACCTTGGGAGTGTTTCTCCATATCTCAGGTAGGCTCTCTTTCAGTGGTGGCAAAGTTGTCCCCCAGGAACTTCAGGCTTACTTATTTTTCCTGCTAACTTGGCCACAGAAAGCAGAAACCGTGCTACTTTCTTAGCAGGTCCAGCAAATCCTGGGGTAGACATCATTGGCCTCCCTTGGCTCTGTTTACAGTGACGGGCCATCTGACCGTGTGTCCGTGGCAGCGGAATGTGCCCGTTGGCCAGGCACAGGTCCTGGGTCTGCCTTTGTAGCTGGGGTCAGGGTCTGAGCTACGGACCTGGAGAGAAGTGGCTCCTCGAAGGAAAATCGCAGTGCCGTTTCTAGAAGGAGGAGGGCGTGGATGGTGGGCAAGCAGAGGCAATAGCTGTCGCCTGTAACCAGGAGAACTTTAGAACCTGGGCGCGTGAACTGCAAGTGGGGATAATGCAGAAAGGACAAGGGAGTGGAGGCCCAGCTGCGAGGCCTCAGATGAAGACAGGAAGAGATAAAAGACAAAGGGAGATGAAGAATCCTGTCCTTTAAACTGCTGTCTGGTGGTCTGGGGATGGGAGGCGGAGCGGGGGCCGGGGGGCGGGGCGGGCAGGTGGCGGGAGAGGGAGCAGAGCTTTGGTAAGAGACGGGGCCCAGGCAGATGCAAATCAAGTAGTGTGTCAGAGAGGGGAGAGAAATCTCAGGTGTGTGAGGGCCTCATGCTCACGCGAGGGCACCTGGCTGCAGGGAGGAAGGGGCTGAGCACGCTCTGCCCAGCAGGTGATAAGCTGAAACCAGCTGCACCGGCTGTGGTCTGGACTGAGTTGATAAGTGCATGCTGCCATTGACATCCTCTGTATTCGGGGGCCACTTTTATTTTTTTGTGATATCTAATGCCATCATTTATAACAGCTTCAGAGAGTCACTAGCAACCCCATTCTATGGGGATGTGAAAACACATCCCTAACTGTGTTTTCTGTGTGGGTTTTAGTTCCCCACTCATGAATTCTCCTACTGTGGAAGCTTTTAGGAATCTAAACTCCTAGAGGTTCAGTTAGGTACTCATACCCCACCTTTCTCCAAAACAGAGTTGAGACCGTGGATATCTGTATGCACTGTCCATGCCCACTCTTTTCCCTCTCCCTCATCATTTAAAAAGGTTTGCAAAGCCCGAGTTGGGATAGAAACAAAAGAGGAACTGATAGCAATTTCTTTTTAGATTAATTTCTCTGGTGTAGAAAGCCTAGCTCTCCCTTCCAGAGTTCCTGTGTCCTGAGGCAGCATGAGATTGTCACAGGACAGAGCTGCAATCCATCCCCCAGACAGCCACTTTTTATGACACTTGTGTGGGAAATGTGTGGCCCCAGTCGTGGACTACATGCAAGCCTTTGCCTGCCCCATCTTTCCACCTGCGGCGCTCTTGAGACCCCCTCCCTCACAGGGGTGAAGCCTGTGTACTGGGTGACCTAACCTGTGCTGGCTGTTAGGATACCTCACAGCCTGGCTGGGGCTTCGGGTGCAGGCAACGTAATAGCAGTAGGGATTGTGACACAGATGGGGGCAAATCTGAGTTAGCGGCAGAGCGTCGGGTGCCACGGCGGGCTTCACCGAAGAGCAGGCCTTCAGGCCAGAGGGCTGAGGAGAGGCGGGGCGGTGGCGGACCAGAGTCAGTTGTCGAATTGATAGGAAATGTACAAGCCAGTGATTAAACACAGCTATTAAAAGTTAAATTACAACCAAACAACAATACCTGTGTGCATATATAACATAATACCTACATATGTTATGAAAATATATGTATATATATTATGTAAAAATATAATATGTAAAATATATATATGTAAAAACAAAGTATATGTAAAATATATATGAAAAAATATAAATATGTAAATCTATGTAAAAGCGAATCTATATAAGTGTGTGTGTGTGTGTGTGTATATATATATATATAAAAGAAGCCAAAGAAAAGAAAAAGTCAAATTATGTGAATTTATGTAATTATACTAATTATATTAAATTAAAGGTATGTGGTATTTAAAACAAAATATATTATTAACTTTTTAGTACAGAACGTCTGTGCTCTTTATGCAATAGAAATACTATATAATGATATGCTACTATGCACATCCCTTCCCAGTTCCACTTTCAGGAACGTTGGTTATAGTTGGTAGCTTGAAATTAGCCAGGAGGGGGCACTGACTCCATGATGTCAGCAAATGCCACCAGTCAGGGTTTGGTTTGTTGTCTCCTAGAGCATCTAGATGTCATCTAGACAATGTTGGAGAAAGTGTTCATTTTGCAGGAGAAAGTTAGAAGTGTGACTAGCACAAATAATTGAGAAAATAGTCTTTCAGGATTTTCAAATCATTATCTCACTCTGCCCAGTTGCTCATGTGAAGTTCCTATATGCGTCCTCATTGTTCTGTTTCATCTTACCTGTTCCCGTAGACGAAACTATCCAGCGGCAGCCATATTGGAACTGTAGTCCTTGGCTATGGATTAAGAGGAGGGCGAAAATCAGTGAAAGCATTCAGTGAGGTGCCTGAGATGCCATGCAAGCATTGGCGAAATGGAATTTGTGAGAAACAATATTGTGTAGTGTATTATTATATGTAAATTGAGTGCTACCTGTCCCTTATACGTGTCCCTCAGTAAAATCTTCAGTAAACTGCCATAGCTACCTATGTACGCACACACATTTTCCCTCAGAGAGCCGGTTGTTAACCACTTAGCACACCACTGTGGGGAGAGGCTGTGTGTGGAGGGAACAGCAGGAGCAAAGCTTTGGCATCATGAAACAATCAGTGGGTTCTGTGTGGACCAGGACTCGCTTCATGTCATACATCCTAGCTCAGTAGCACTCTTCTGTGAAGCCTTTTCCAGTCCTTCAGGCTGGTCAGCTGTCCTCCCTGTCCCCTGATTCCCTTGTTAATACCCCTTATCATAGCACCTGTCACCAGTGAGAGACATGGCGGAAGGGGTGGGGTGCGTAGCACAGGCCTGGGAGCTGGACGACTTGGTGTGAAAGCCTGCTCTGCCATGGACCAGCAGTATGATCTTATCCAGGATGTGCTAGGCAACCTTTTTATACCTCACTTCCTCTGTAAATGAGGACGATGATAGGATGGAGCTCATGGGGTTGTTGTAAAGAGCAGATGGGTTATCCATGTGTGGGGTGCCTGATGGTGCATCAACCTCATCATTTCATCTTCCCAGCCACACTGAGCTCCTTCACAGCACAGACCTTTCCATCCTTGCACTCTCAGCATGTAGTAGACATGTTGGTAGCCACTGTTGAATGAATGAGTTAAAAGAAGGAACTCAGGTCTCCTAACCTCCCCTCCACTCTTCTGTGAATTGCACCTATGGCCCCAGGACCTTTGCACTTGCTGTTCCTTCTGCCTGAATACTGCCTGCTGATCTTTCCCTTGGTATTACACAGTTCATCCCTTCATTTACTGCTCAAATGGTACTTTATAAAGGAGCCCTTTGTTAACCACCCTCTATAATAAACAACGTTCTCCTATTCCCTGTTATCTACCCCTACCCTGCTTCCTTCGTCCTCACTGCCTTTGGCCCGGCAGCCTGCTTATCTGTTTTGGTCTTTGTTGGGTCCCTAGTGCCTAGTCTGGTAAATCCCTGTTGAATGTGTCAGTGAATATTGTTTCAAGCCACCCCCACCTCCCACTAATGCTAGTCTTGTCTCCTTTCTTCACCCTCCCTGCTCTGAAATCTTGCTATCCAAAATCTTCTGTTTTCCCCTGCTCTGTGCCCTCTAGCTCTGCTCTTCCACTCAGATGTATCCGTCCTTCCTTCGGGAAGCCCACAGCCTCCTCACACTTAGCCGAACTCCAGTTCCGGTCGGAAGCCACCTGCTTGTTCTCTTAAGTTTTTTCTCCACCTCGCTGACAACTTGCTGGCATTAGCATTTGCCACAGGTGCGGCGACCAGCAGTCAAGAAATCATAATTAAAAGCTGTTCTTGGACAGAAAGTGGAGTTTTAGTCCCAGCAGCTAGAACTCTGAGAACTTGGGGATTGCGGCCATTGGAGGGTCACCTGGCCACGAACCTCTCCACCTTTGTGTCTACCACCCACTTTGGGGTCTGGGGAGATGCCAAGGGCGCACCCTGAGGGGAAGCATGGCTGACAGGTGGCTCAGACCCGCCCCCAGCTGCATCCCCACAAGTGGAGCTTAGAGCTGCTTCCTGTGTTGGGGTTTCTTGTGACATTTCATTTGAGATAAGCTTGCCACTACTTTATGAGTTTGAAGACCACTGTTCTGATGCATTTTGCCAAATTCTAAAATATCTTTTCACATCTTTCCCTCTTGAAGATGAACTGACTGGAATCCTTAAGAAATTATCACTTGAGAAATATCAGCCCATTTTTGAGGAGCAAGAGGTAAGGATGTTATTTTTGAATGTCCATCTGAATCTTACTCTAAAAAAAATAAATATATGGGTTTTCATCCTACAAGCATAGATTGATCTTTCTCACTGAGACAGCTAAGGAAATGGAGTTTGTGTTCAGCACATTTAGTTCAGTTCATCACAGTGAAATCCTGGGGGCCTTATGGCTTGTTTTGTTGTAATAGAATTATGTGATTTTGCGCACTGCTCTCGCTAGTAAAGTTTGTGTTTGTCCTTTGCACACTTTTGTTGAAGGAGATGGGCAGGTTTTTAGATTTAAAACGGGTCAAAAACAAATCCTATTGACTTTGTGCTAAGTGTCTGGATATAGGATGTCTGTGTTAATCCGAGAGAGTTCCTTTTGCTTAAAAGCACTCACAGTCACTTTTTTTTTTTAAATGACCGTTCTGCTGTTTGGCAGTTTCTCAAAATGTTAAACATAGAATTATCATGTGACCCAGCAGTCCCACTCCTGGGTGTGTGCCTAAGAGAACCGAAAACATATGTCCACACAAAAACTTGCACACGAATGTTCATAGCAGCATTATTCATAATAGCCAAAAAGTGGTAAACAGCCCAGATGTCCATCGATCGATGAATGACCAGATGCGTTATCGCTGTACTATGGAATATAATTCGGCCATAAGAAGGAAGAAAGTGCTGACGCACGCTATGACACGGAAGAGCCTGGGACACACATTATGCTGAGGGGAAGAAGCCAGACACAAAAGGCCACATATGGTGTGATTCCATTTATATGAAATGTCCAGAATAGGCAAATCTGTAGAGACAGAAAGTAATTAGTGGTTGCCAGGGAGTGGGGGGAGGAGAGAATGGGGACGGACTGCTTATATGGGTGTGGGTTTCTTTTTGGAGTGATGCAAATGTTCTAAAGTAGAGTGTGATGGTTGCACAACTCTGAATATACTAAAAATCACTGAATCTTCTGCTTTCTTTAATTAAAAAGAATTTTTTATTTGCGTGTAGTTGCACACAGTGTTACATTAATTTCAGATATACAGCTTGGTGATTTGCCAGGCTTATCCGTTAACTGCGTTCACCACAAGCGTAGCTGCCCTCCATCCCGACACATCGCTGTCACAGTACCACTGATGTATTCCTTATGAACTGTACATTTTAAATGGGTGGATTGTATTGTAAGTGAATTACATCTCAGTACGTTTTGGAAAAAACTTACCATTTGGGCCACATAAAGCTCCTCTGCAGGCCCACTAGCCACCAGGGTGTAATCACCAGTTTGGAATATTTCTGGCGCCCGGTCGAGTACATGACAACTCTCATCATTGCAGTAGCAGTCCTGAGAATCACTCACCGTCCCTGCAAGCTTGAGATGCTACTGAGGAGTTTGCATTTTGTCTTAAGCAGCAGACAGAGTGCAGTGGCTTTCTTCCTCCCTTGCTTTCCTGCTGGAGCCAGCGGGTCCTTCCTGCCTCTTTGGTGTTTTAAACCTCAGCAGTGATGTTTCTCATTGCCAAGAAATCTTTCCCGTGCACTGCTGGCAGCCTGCTCTTGTGTGCTGTGTTCTGCGCCCTCTTGGAGTATGCAGGGAACACACCTCAAGGTGTACCTCTGTTTCTTGAGGTGTCTCTGTGTCACAAGGCAACGTTTGTCCTGAGTTCTTAGCTGCATCCCTGTTTTGGAGCTGATATGTCTGAGGGCACATCTGTCATTCACCATTCTCTGGTTCTTGCAGCTGTCCCTTACAGGGAACTGAGGGGTGTTCCAGATGAAATTTGACACTTTCAGAGTTTTAGAGGGCAGGGAGACCAGGCAGAGTTGCTGTGGTCTTCACTTACCCACCTGAAAGTCTCCATAGCCTTGGGGGTTGGGGAGGGTGCTGAGGCCTGGGGCAGGACTGTGGGGAGGGCAGAGCCACTAGCTGGAGGATTTCTGTGTGTGTTGGGTAGGGTGAGGTTAGCTGAGGCGGTGCCCTTGTCAGGAGCCAGCTCAGCTGTCCCCCCTGCACTTAGCTTCTCTCTGGACAACATATAAGCTAGGTAGCACTATGTGAGAGTTGTTATCTGTCCATATAGAGATCCCGTGTTCCCTTGAAGGCTTTCATGTGACTCAGGTTTTAACACCACTGATTGCCCCTGCCCTCACCTCTACACCCATCCCCACAGCTACAGAGCACTTGTTAGTCACTTAAGAAACTCCTTAAAGTAACTGGCATGCAGATAGTACTTTTCCCTCATTTCCAGGGCTCATAAAAATTTCTCCCTCTTATTATATGCTTTTAGTGCTTGTTGAGAATTTGGAAGAAGAATGAAGTTAATACATTTTCTCATCCTGCCATACTGAAACTGAAGACAGACTAATAATTTTCATCTCTCTATCTGTATTGGGATGGATTTGGCTACATATATTGAAAAATCCCCAGATAATAGTATCTTAAACAAAATAGAAGGTTATTTTTCCCACAGAAAGTGTTCAGATGAGTCATCAAAGCTCCTTCTAGCTCTCTGCTCCACCATCACTAGGGTGTATGGCCCTCATCCTCAAAGTGCAGTATGGCTGCTAGGGCTCCAGCCATTACATCCACATTCCACGCAGCAGGATGGAAGGAGATAGCAAAAAGACACGTGTTCTCCTTTTTTAAAGAGACTTCCTCAAAGTACCATAAACCTTATATCTCATTAGCCAAAAGTTTGTCAATTGACATGCTCATATGCAAGGGAAACTCAGAAATATAGTGCTTTAGCTTCATGGCAATGTGCCTAGCTGACAACTAGGATTCTATTACTAAAAAAAAGTAGGGCATGAATATTGAAAGGACACAGATGTTTCTGCCTCATAGTGCTGACCCTACAGAAGTACTCACGTGAGGAGAATTTAGTCTCTGGTTCCCTCCACCTAAAATGAGCTGTGAGGATTTGGCAGCCCCCCAGGGTTGACAGAGGTCAGAGATTGAGAAGGTCAGTGAATGTGCGGATGCAGTAGCATATTGATTGGTGTGGTCATTCAGTCAGCCAGCAAACACAGCTCAGGTCTCTACCCCCTATCAGGCCCTCTACCAGAGCCTGACCCTAGCAAAGGCAGAAACACCCAGAGCATTCTGGGAGCCCAGGGAAGGGGGTCTATAGAATGAGGGCCAGAGGACACCTCAGCTGAGCATAAACTGAGCTTTGAGGGAGGGGAGCAGGGCTAGTAGGGCATCTGGGAAGAGGGAGCAGACATGTGCCAAGAGCCGTCAGCACTTCGGCCTGTTCGGGGCCTGACTGGAGCAGGGAGCCTGACCGGGCAGGGCCTGGCCAGCATGGACGTGATCTTGCGAACCACAGTCCGGAGGCAGACGAGGGCCAGCAAGATCTCTAGCCTGTGGTGTGGGTGGTGGACCAGTTAGGGGCAGACTCACAGGAAAGGAGACTCCAGTTAGAAGGGGGTGACGGGGGGGCACCCTGGGCAAGAGGGCAGAGAGGTGCTGAGGAGCTGGCTGTGGGGACAGCCTGGGGGTCAGGCCGTGGGGAGAGGGGAGTGTCTGGCCCAGCCAGGGGCAGGCAGTGTCTCAAAACCATGTCATCTGCTCTTTCAGGCCCTCAGCCCCTGTGAGCTGTAAAATCCCAGAGAGAGGCAGGGGGACACCTCACAGAGCTTGGGGCTGGGGAGGGAGCAGACCCTTCCCCACCGACTCACGCCTGCTTCAAGGTGGTTTTAATCCAGGAAAATAAAACGACTATTAAAATAGAAAAGGAAAGATGGGGGACATTTTTCAGAAAAAAATTCCTCTATCTCCACATACATCAAATGTTTTGAAGAAAATTTTTAAAAATCTTCAGTATCTCTGGGGGAATAGAAAACAAAGCCTACTTTTAAAGTGAAAAACTAAGGATTTTCAGTAAGTTATGAAAGTTTAATTTTAAATGACAGCAATATTATATCACATAAAACTATAATATTTTTATGATTTAGCTTGCAAAGCTTTGTGTAAGCCCTCTGGGTAGACCCTACAACCACCTGTAAGTTAGGTGAGGGGAGGATTCGTACATTTCAGGTGGGAAACTGAGGTAAGCTTCCTGCCCAGGTGCCCCAGGCAGCAAGTGGGGATTGAGGCCCTGTCTGTCTCCCAGATGACTGCCATTTTGGGGTCTAATTTGCAAGGGCCCATACAGGGGATAGAACCCCTTAATTCTTAGGGAACATCAAGTCACATTAGCAAGGAGGCCGCCACCCCCAGGCCAGGGACTATAGCTGCAGCATCAAGGGTGACGTGGCCCCGCAGAGAAGAGCAGGGACTCTGGAGCCCACTGCCTGGGTTCCAGTCTTGCTTTTTTCCCTGTGCCTCAGTTTCCCCGCCCCCGAATGGGGGATAGTAGTAATCTCACTTTTGTCGTAAGGTTTAAACAACTCAGTCTGTGTTGAATACTCAGAAGGTGCTTCGCACGTGGTGTTAGCTTCTGTGTCCTCCCCGTTGTCACCTGACAGCGAGGCTCGGGGACAGAGCTGGGGTGTGTAGGGCTGGCCTCCACCCGCTGTGCTTGCTGCCTCTGAGCCACGTCTGACCTTCGCAGGACGGACGCCGCAACATAGCGGCCATGTAACAGGATGCCCTGTTGGTTCTTCGCCTGGCGCTGAGGCCCAAGCTGGGATGACAGGAATGTTAGGGTTTCAGCTCTAGCAGCCAAGGGTTGTGCGGCTTTGAGATGCCCGTGTTCTGAGCCCTTCTCCGCTTCGGTTCTCTGTGGCCCTTCTCCCCTTTATTGCTTTTGCTCGTTGACTTGCTCACTCTGTCTTTCCAGAGTCTACATCTCCCTGGTCCTCTGGGGGGGAGCCATGCTGAGTCCCGCCATATATGCCCATTTTCCGTGCGGTTTCTGATCTTGTTGGAATGCAGCAGCACTGGGATCAACCTTCTAAGAGCAGCCTTGGATTTGCAGCAGGCCGGCCACCCAGATTACGGTCTCAGAGACTCCCCTTCCTTGTTCAGTGGTCGGGGTCCTTCTACAGTGCACCTGTCCTGGGATTCCCAGGCCTAGAGCTGGGGAGAGTTAGTCCTTAATAATACTTTCAATTAAACTTTCAACATAAAGTCAGGAATTGGAAGTAGTAAATCATAATTACTTCACTGCTAATAAGCACTAATAGCTCATAATCAGGCTATTTCTGGTGTGGATGGGGAAAAAAAAAAAGGTGTGGCACCAGAAGCAGATGGTAATGAATCCCCCTTCTCTCTTTCCAGGTGGACATGGAAGCATTCCTCACGCTCACCGACGGCGACTTGAAGGAGCTGGGTATTAAGACAGATGGATCCAGGCAGCAGATTTTGGCAGCGATTTCTGAACTGAATGCAGGCAAGGTATTGTTCTCAATCTTTTTTTCCTGTTTCAAACAGCAGAGAGCTTCACTAGGATCCTGAGCCCTCCGTGTTCCTGAGGACATCTGTGGTCTGATTCCATCTCCTCTGGCGCATCTGGCAGAGGACGGCCCCGTGTGCACACTTCTCACCACCGAGCGCTCCCTACCTCCCTGTCCCTTTTCCAGATTTCTCTTCTCATAGACTCAGCAAAAATGCTCCCTGTGGTAATTTCAACCCATGGGGCTGGGTATTGCCCTCCAGCTTACAGTGGAAGCAGAGCTCTCATAAGAGGGACTCTGGAGTCAGGCCCACCTGGGGGTGAGCCCACTCTGCCCCTTACTCACTGTGTCCCCTAGAAGTCATCACCTCCCTGAGCCGTGCTTTCCTCATCCGCTGGGGGCGGTGGGTCATTGCCAGAACCAAAAAGCTTAGCAGCGCCCCTGGCACACACAGACCTGTCAGTCACTGTTGTTATTGTTGGCATCCTACATTTTTGTCCAATGTTAAATTTCTGTTTCATCAGCTTTAAACTAAAGATTAACAAGGCACCCCCATCAAAGGCACACATGCGAAAAAAAAAAAAAATGCATGAGAAGCAAATCACCACTCACTTTGCAAACCTTAGTAGCACAGTAGCTGTTGGGCTATTCAGGCTCCTTTGCCTCATGGATTTTTCCCTAACGTGGGATGGACGTTTCTGTCTCACTCCAACAGTGTACGGGACTTGCTTACCTGTTGCTGTTTCACGCTCTGCCTGACAGCCCCCCTCCTGTTAGCCCCCCTGTCATGCCATGTCTGGGGTTTTGCCATTACAAATAGCACCATAATGGATATCTCTGCTTTGTTCCTTTTTCTTCTGTTGTTTTGTTCCTCGGGCTGTGTTCCATGATGCGAGGTTATGTCAGAGAGCGTGACCGGTCTTACGGTTCTTTCTGTGTATTGCCGGGTACGCACAGAAATATTGAACAGACTTAGAGTGCCAACAGCAAATAAATATTCATGTAGCACTTTATCATTCACAAGACACTTCCCATACATTTCCCCAGTTAATCCGAGGAGGCCGGATCCTCACACTTCCCTTGTCCAGCTGCCCAGGTGGAGAGCTGGGCAGGCAAGTGAGGCAGGACCTCACCCAGGTCTTCATCGTATGTTCCCACAGCACCGTGCTGTGTGCAGGTGGCTCCTGCCAGCCCCACTGGGGTGGGTGGGGGTGGGGGTTGGGTCTCTTGCTGTCATCATTATTATTATTTTACCTGTTTGTAGGGTGCAAGGTGGTCCTTCTGAGTGATTTAGTTGGCAGTGCTTCCGGTGCCTGTGTTTTATCTTGAGTTTTTACTGTCTGTTCTTTTTCTTCTGTAAGTGACCCGTTGCTAAACACTGCTCACCTGTTCCCTCACCTGTTCCATGGGCCTGGGCTACCTCACTTTACAGACGGGGAAGCTGAGGCTCAGAGATGGATAGTGAGCCCTGACTCCCAGACCAGCACTGTTTTGGCTCTGCTTTGAGATGTGAGGGGCAGGGGAGGTTGCTGGAAGTTGCTGCAAGTGGGCCAGTCCTGGCTGGTAGTAAGGGCTTACCCAGGGAAGTGAAGCCCCTGGGGCATCGATCAACCAGAGCAAGCACTGAAGTCTTTAGAGCATTGATTTGGTCATGAAAAATAGCCCTTGGATTCTCTGCCGTGTCCCAAGCACTATGTGGGCGCTGAGCTCTGAGGCTACTTTGTACCCAGCACTGTTCTCAGCGTGTCACATCTAGTCATTCCTTTAACTTCACAAAAGCCACTGAGGCCAGGTCCTCCAGTCTATAGGTGGAGGAAGTGAGGCACAGGGAGGGTAAGGAGCTTGACTGAGGTCATGCTGTTGGTAAGTGACAAAGCCAGAGTTGGAGTGCTGACCACTATGCTGCCCTGCCTCGGCGTGAACCACAAGTGCGTATAAAGCAGAGCTCCTGACCTCAAGTGGGGGCTGGAAAGGCAAGGTCCTGGAAGACATCCCCAAGGAAGTGGCAGGAGAGTTGGGATCTGAAGAAAGATGGGAACCTTTGGATAGAGGGGTAGAAGAGTGCAGACCAGGCAGAGGGAAGCACATGTGCAAAGGCCCTGTGGTAAGAGGAGGTACAGTGCATTTCAAGAACTCAGGAAGTGCTAGACCTGGGAGCAAGAGGTGTGGTGTGAGGGGAGGCCAGAGGGGACAGATGAGCCCCCAGGTGGTTGAGGGGACCCAGTCAAGTAAGGGCAAGGGCTCTTGGGAGAGGGGAGGTGAGTGATGGTAGGGGGATTTGACTCAAGGTTTGCAGGACCCTTCCTGCTCCTGGCCTCCAGAGGCCAGATGTGTGAGCCAAGGAGAGGATAGAGGTGGGGGAAGCCAAGCCAGCTGAAGAAGGACAGGAAAGATTCTAGATGTAGGGCCAGGGAGGACCATGGAGGATGTGGGAGGACAGGCCAGGAGCTGGGTGCCACTAAAAGCCTGGCCCAGGGCTTGGTAGATGGTAGCTGCTAATGCTTCCTGACCCTCCCCTCTGCCCTCAGTGACCATGGCCCTTGTGGCCCAGGATCACAGAAAGAAGGCAGACTGGACTGGCTTGCTAATCTTAGGAAGCTTAACTGTCATGATCAGAGTGGATGATGTGACATCTCAAGCCCACTCCAAAGGAAAACATTTTTCTTAATGTTTGCACAAACCGGGACCTTTTTTCATTTTCTCTCAAATTCATTGCCCCCGTACTTATTCCTGTAAGAGTCTGCATGCTGTGCCAAACAAGGCCCAGTCTAGAGAAGCAGAAGCGTTGACAGCTGTTGGTGGTTCTTAGTTCAGGCTGCATCACGAAGGACCATCTACCGGGTGGCTCGTGGACAAGAGGAGTTTTGTCTCACAGCATGGAAGCTGCGAGTCCCAGATCAGGCCTCCGGCATGGTTGAGATCTGTGAGGGTCCTCCTCCAAGGTGCAGACTGCCACCTTCTCATCGTGTCCTCACTCGGCGGAGAGCAGAGAAGCCAGGTCTTTCCTGTCTTCTTATAGGGGCACTGCTGCCATCATGGGAGTCCCACCCTCGTCACCTCACCCAAGCCCCGTCACTTCCCAAAGGCCCCACCATCTCACACCATCCCACTGGGGGTGGGGTTTCAACATACGAATTTGGATGGTGGAGACACAGTCCTTCTGTAACAGTGGTCTTCCTTGGGGGCACCAGCTGACCAGCTCCCAACCAGGAGACCTGGGTGCTTCCAACCTGCCAGACCGAAGGGACTGCTCTGTCCCACCCATGTCCCTCCCACAGGCAGCATCCACCCTCAAAGTCAGGCAGTTCCACATGGAAATAGGGGCAGAGGGAAGGTCCAGTGGAAGTGAGGACCATGCATCACAGCGTGTCCTAGAGCAAAAGCAGGATTGGGAGAAGCTAAATATTACAAAAACAGGTTAATAATCTGCTGCACTACTCTGGAGTTGCCATTGAAGCTAGGTGCTGCTGCTTAGAGCGAAGAAGTTCTCAGGCCGAACGTGGCTGCCAGGAGCCCTTTGGGTGGCCTTTGGATGCCCTGGGCCTCAGCTCTTCTGGGCTGGACCCCTCTCACCCTGACTTCAGGGTGTTCTACCTCCTCCTTGATTGCTACAGGGCACCCACTCCCCCGTGAGCATTCATACTTTTTCTTTTGCAACCCAGCCTCAGCCAAGAGAGTACCCATTGGTGGCTCAAATGCTCTGGATACATTCAAGAACCCAGACCAGGACCCATGAGAGAGGGGAGGCCCAGCTTCCCTTGTCCACCAGTGTCTTCATGGCTGTGGTCCACAGCATGCTGGGGGTTGTGGACCCAATTTAGTGGTTCACTAAAGCAGCATTTTAAAAAACAGAATAGTTGGGGCACCTGGGTGGCTCAGTCGGTTAAGCATCTGCCTTCAGCTCAGGTCATGATCCCAGGATCCTGGGATCGAGCCCCACATCAGGCTCCCTGCTCTGTGGGGGGGCCTGCTTCTCCTTCTCCCCCACTTGTGCTCTCTAGCTCTCTCTGTCTCTCAAATAAATAAATAAAAATCTTTAAAAAAGAAAAAAACAGAATAGCATAGAAAATGTCAACATTCTTTGCAGGTAGGAGGGTAAATTTGTTTCGGCTGTATAAATTTACACGTAATAAGGTTGTGATCTAAAGTGTATTTCTTGCACAATCAAAAATAGTTTGAACATTTTAGCTTAAAAGGTTTTATGTTTGTTTTGTTTTGTTGATGAATAATAATCAGAAACCTGGCTCTGCCATGCAAATACCAGCAAAGCAGTATAGATCCTCAGCCTTACAAGCCAGGGGCCTCTGTCTGAGCCTCCCCCTTCCAGGATTCAAGCTGTGATGTGTACTCGAGTTCGCTTATTAGTTGATTAGTTTCAAACAGTTTATATGTTGGAGAAGGTCAACCAGAAATTTCACCTTCGGTTGGTTCCTAAGCCATTGCTTCTGTAATATTGCCATTTTTGTGTGTGATTATCAAAGCAGCACACATTCATTTTACTAAAATTGCACAGCCGGAAAGGTGAAAAGAGTTTTTAAGGGAATCATGATCCAACCACCCAGAGGCCAGTGCTTTTCACATTTGGGAAGATCACTGCAGTGTTTTGTTCCAAATGTTTTTCTCTGCTGAGATAAATTTGGATCTATAATTTTACATCCTACTTTCTTCATTTAACATTAAATATATGCAGTTACCCATGTCATTAAAAACTCTTTTTAATATAATACATTTGCATGGATGTACTAAAATTACCTTATTTTAAATCCCTACTTGTTGGATATGTGGATATCCAAACTTTCTATTAATAGCACTGCAGTGGGCAACTTTGTGTATAAGGCTTTCTAATTATCTCCTCAGAATAGATGTCTAAAAGTGGAATCGTGGAGTCAAAAGAGTCTAAATCAAGGTATATGGCACTTCTTCCTGAATTACTTTCCAGAAAATGCCAGTGAACATCCCCACCAGCTGTGGGCGTGTGGCTCCAGTATCCGCAAATCCCCT